ATGACAGTCTTCAGCTCTTGACTGCTGCTCTGTAAACCCTGTAACTTTCTGTTACAGGTTAGGCAATTCCTCCAGCAGTGGCTTGGCCTGAGATGCAGCAGTCCCACATGTGAGCAAACCCTCCAGGACAAGCCGTCTAGTGGCTGAGAGCGAAACAACCCTTCTGCTCTAAATGTGGGTCTTTGTTGGGCTGGAGCAGATAAAAACCTCTTTATTTGCCTTTACAATGTACTTCTACTGTGCAGCTAGACCAATAACTTCACCTAAAAACCTCAGCAATATGGTTAAAAATGTCAGAGACCTTCCTGGAAGGAAACACTGAGCAGACATGATTATTGTGCGAGTACAGCACATGTGCAAGGACACGCCGTTTCCCAAGAAACTCCAGGCAGGACTTTTTCCAGGCAGTGAGGATAATTTTTTTCTTTTTTCTTTTTTCTTTTTTTTTTTTTTTTGGTAGCTGTTTTTCAGCATTTTATTCAAATGAATGGGAGTTATAGGGCATGACTCAGATGAGAATAAGCCATAAAAAGTACCAGCCTGAGAGTAAACACAGTTCTAGTTCACTCACACACCTCCGTAATAAGGTGTCTCAGAGTCCTGGGGTTTTTTATAATCCCCTTGTGCCAAAAGGGCTTCTTTCATTGCTGGGGAAGGGCAACTAGTTCTATATTAGATTTACCTAGTCATTCAAGCCAGGATGATCAGCCAGGTCTTTCCATTCTTATTTGAAGATTAGGATGTTGGTTCTGCCCGAGTTCATCAGAACATAACTAGCCTGTTTCACATAAAAAACAGTGATGCTATTAAATCATATTAATACCTATGGGGTTGGCATTTAGTCATGAGGAATAGGAAAGCCCTGCTGGGGACTAGACTTTCTCATTCGTGACTTTCAGTGCCTTTAAACTCTTGGTCTTTTAAACCCTGTGGCTGGAAACTTACTCGGGGCAGAGTCTTCCTGGTACTCGTGTTTTCTACAGCACCTAGCACAAGAGCTGTCCAAATTATGTGTGTTAGAAGACAGGAGAATACATCCTTTCACACCATCCTCACTGCTCAGAGCCCTTTGAGGCATCACAGCAAACTTTTTTAGCAGCAGAAGCTGGTGTTTGTGTTTGGATTGCAATCTACATAGAAAACATGCTGGCCTTGATTCCCTCACCACCACCATCTAACAGCCTTACTGGGCTAGTGGAACCACACCTGCTTGTCAGGGCAGAGATGAGCAAACTAAGCACTTAAAACCAGGCTTCTTCATGCCACTGTTTGAAGACACAGTTCTGCCAGCTTTCCCTATGGGAATCAAGCTATGCTGACAACATGGAAGTATTCAGAGCTTGCTACAGAGAACAACATAACCCTTGTATATATTGTCTTTGCCTCACTTGACTCATACTCTACCCAACCTTTCTCATTACAAGCAGTCTTCAACAAAAAAAAAAAAAAACACAAACCAAACAAAACAAAAAAAAACAAACAAACCCAAAGTTTCTTTCCTTTCTTCTGGCGTTTCTGTGCTTTGCACTGGTAACTTGCAAGAAGACAAGCTGCTTGGGTGGAAGTCCTTCAAAAACCTGACTTTTAGCAAGTCTGCCAGGCATCTCACCTGTGAAACAAACAGTAACTCTTGAGAGCAGCACAGTGAGAGCGCACCCACTGCTGTCTGCCAGGCTCACCTTCCCCTCAGACTGTTCTGGCAGTTGCCCCTCATCCCTCGCAGGAGGCTGCCAACAGCCAGGTAATTCTCTGCAAGCACTAAGAGCCGCTCTGCTCCTCTGCTGAGCACCAGGACTCAGAGCACTCTCTGAGGCTATTGGCCCACCACTGTCCTCCAGGTTTATCTCAGCTCTACCCCCAGTTTTGTCACTGTATCCTTCAATCCCCTCTCTCCCCATAAAAGTGTCTATCTGTCTCCTAAACTCACTTTACCATTTGCTTCTTTGACCTCACTTGGCAACTTATCCTTGTGTTTATTATTTGAGGTGAAACAGTTCTGGCTACATTCCTGGTTTTACTCTTAATTGTCTAATTTTTAGTATGGTGTCAGTGAGGTTGGGATTTGGGTTTGGGCTTTCTTTAACTCATCGCTCTTCTGTTTCATTAGGCTCCTCTGTGTCACCAGGATTTCCAATAACTAAAAGAATCCTAATGAATCTTTTATTGAACCTTCCCAAATATTGCAGCTGGGATTTCTCGTCCATTAGTGCCATTCTGAACTACATACGCTGCCTTTAATTACTTTGTTATTAATTGGAGGGGAGGGAGGGGGAAGGAGGATTTTCCCCAAGGAGGGAAGAGTTCCCCAGCTAAAAAGCTGAGTGATTCCCCCTCCCCGTACTTATCCCATGGGGAAGGTACAAACAAGGCTTGACTGGGATTGAGCAGCAGAACGTTTTCTTGCCCTCTGGCAGTAGCGAACCTGTGCCTGCTGGCTGCCTTTTTGTACCCACCTCATGTCCAGGTGGCTCTAAGGTGTGGGGCTGCAGGCACTTTCCCAAAGCCCCTCAATCCATGCCAGAGCCTTGTCAGACTTTTGGACAAGGTCATCATACTGGATTTGCTGTCAGGCCACACTGATAATGGGAAAAGACTGCACAAGGTTTTCCCAGTTCCCATCTGGGGAAAGGGAAGGAGGAAGAAACACTGGTTTAAGTCACCTACCTGCACCTTCAGGAACTGTTCCCAGCCTCTGTCAGGCTGGTTGGTGGCACAGTGAAATGAATCCTACTGACATCCTGAAACAGATAGGCTTGATTGGAGTGGCTTCTAAAATGAACAGGACCTAACCCACCATGGAAAGAGAACCTGAAGGATGAACTATCTCCAGGCTGGGTGACTAACTGCAGCAAGATAACACCTTTGTGCCTCCTTGTGAGGTCAGTACAGTCTGTACCCTTAAAGAACCTCACATGCACCAGCAGCAGAGCACATGGTTACCATTCAGACGCGTTAGCTCCCATTTTCCCAAAGCAGAAGAGACACTTTGCTGAATTCACCTGCCTTAAAATAATTGGTTCAGGTAAACCCCTGAATCCCAGCTGACACGAGAGAGAGAAACCACATTCCCTTTCCAACCCAACACATCTTGTACACCACAAAGTGACAAGAAAAAGTAGATAGAATTAACATTCTCCATCCTGGGGGGACTGTGGAAGCTACAGGACAGGAGTAGCATGCCAATCATGATACAGTATTAACCATCAGCCAAAATAACATTTTCAGCTTAAGAACAGAGGGCAGAGCTATAAAAAAATTGCTTAATTAATTGTGGGATTGAAAATTTTCGAGAGAGCTAAGGGTACATGTAAGATACAACAGAGCACAGCCCCCTCATCTTCCATGGGGAGGTTAAGCTCACAGAAGCTCAGCCTGCTTGCTGCAAAATGAGGTATTGCATGCTGCAAGAACCGGTGTCTTGGGGCTACTTCTGAGAAATTCATGGAGTAAAGCATTCCCATAAAGGTGGCTTACCTTGCCGATAGAAGTCCTGAAAACCAGGAAATGAAAGGAGACACATAAAATGTCTCCCATGACAAAGGCTGTAAAATAACTAGGAATAAAAATAATATCTAATAATAAACATTTCCCACTGTCCTCACTGCACTCGGCAGGGTGGAAGATGTGACAATCATCAACTAGTGGCATAGCAGTAAATGCATTAATTGAAAAAGTGGCAACAGCAGCTACAAAAGGACAAGCTCTGTCATTCATCAGCCCCTGCTTTGTTTCTGGTAGCCACCTACCATCATTTTTGGCACACAACTCACCAAGCAGCAAACCCCTGGCTGTAGTTACTTACATGTCACTGGAAGCGTGGCCGTGCTGCAGTGGAGCTCTGGTTGGAGTTCACAGGGAATAGTTTTATTTATGTTTGACTAATGCAGACACAATGGGAGGCTGCTTTTTCCTTTTTTTTTTTTTTTGGCTTTCAGTACAAGCACTCGCGGCAGCTCTCTGGTTTGGGTGCAGGCTGAAAACCAGACTGTTCTGTAGCTGTTGCAGACTGCTGCTGGGTAAATCAGAGGACGCTGTGATGGTGACTGAACTTTCTCTCAAGAAAGCAAGAAGAGTTGCTTCATTTTTTAATTCTGTGCAGTTTTATGTACGCCGTTCTCTCCAAATATTTGATGTTTGCCCCACTTGCTATAAGTTTCTCCAGAGAGATGCTGTCTTTTGGCAGCCAAAGATAAAGCTGACTGATACAAATGAGTCACAGTACCCCAACAGTAATTAACAGTGATGCAATACCCATGCGAAAAAGAGGACTTGAAGAATTAACTGTTGAGTTTTCTTGACGATGCAGCTGCACTTTAAGATAGAAAGCTCAACCCATCACAGAACTCCATTGTGTACATTACAGAAAAAAGCTTGGCAAGATACATTAAAGATTTTTGCTAAAGAGATACAAATATTTTGCAAGGTCAGAGGGCGCTGAGGCAGGCTGTACTTATTTCCAAAGAAAAGCAGGCAGTATGACAAAGAAACAGTAATATTTTTTTATCTGCATTTTCACACTTCATCATCTCAGAGAGACTGTCTTTTTCAACCTGCTGAACTGATTTAAACCACCCCAACTCGAAGTTAACTTTTACTTAAAAGTCAGCCTGTGACATTCTAATCTGAGAAGCTCTCTGTGCGCCGGGTTTCGGCTCGGTCCTACAGAAGGCCAGCACTGCTATTTATAAATGGAATTTTACTGTTCTACAAGGTTCTTACACAAATCTTACAGGTCAAAAGAAAAGGAACAGTTTGGTAAGCAGACGAGCGATTGAAGCAACTGCTTTATAGCACAATATGAAACTTGACACTGTTTGCTGCTGCCAGTATGATTCCCAAGTGAGATGGATAAATTGTGGTCAAGACCTGGACAGGTTAACTAGTGGTCATCAGTGCTGGTGGTACCTTTATATACAGGGAAAAAAATAAAAGGATACTATTGGACAGGGAATTTGAAATTTAATACCAGACATGAAACAAGACATCTGCTGGACGCTTACTTGTTTCTCTTTGAATGGGCTTTAATTGAAAGCTCAGTGAAAAATGCAGGTTACATTCTTAGTGTTATCAATAGTTTGTAACAGCAACAACATCAGAACAGTGATGCATCTAATATTTATACACTTTCTAATTTTAGATGTCTAAGAGCAATACATTATCAGATATACATATACACAAAATTTCAAGCAATTAAAAGTAAATAATAAATCCCTCCTCCCAAACCCCTGAAACAATATATTTTGTTACACTAATAATGTCTTTTTCACATATACTTGACAAAGAATCTTTTTAAGTTACTTATCTTAAGAGTAATCTGCTAATGGAGATCCTGGACCAGCCCCATTAGAAGTTCAGTTTTAAGTTTATACAGCTTGCCAGCCACATAACCAGTGTGGCTTTACATTGTAAACAAATCTCAAATGTCTACAATGATTGCAATTCTGTTTGTGTAAAGAAGATCTATGCATCTTACAACAGAATAAATTTAAACCAATACATTAAGCAGAGACAGAGAAAGGGAGAGAGTTAATCGACAAACAAAACAGTTTGGGGAGGATCAATTATATGATTATTTAAAAAACAAGTTAACTTAATGGTAAGATTCTTATTTTCTGTACAGAGAGGCTCTGGGTCATCTATCTTTAGCTGCTCTAGAAATATGTCCTTTAAAAATGTTTAATTTGTGATATTCAAAAGCTGGTTTTCCAACTTAAAAAACTTGCCCTTTGGCAGCACAAGTATAAAGTTTACCCGAAGTATCTCAGGTGATTGGTCCATCTCATTTTGTGAGGATAGCTGTACTAGCATTGGGAAACCTCAGCGTATGCACAGATGAAGTAAGCATAAAGCTTACCTTCAATGGGGAGGATCCACCCACCCACCGTAGGAGTTAAAAAAGCACAAGACTTTGCACCTAGAAAAGTTCAAGTGAAAATAAAACCAGAAAACTAGAGACAAATGAGAAAGGTTAAGCATAGCTTATAATATTCTATAACTGTGGCAACCTTGCTTACTTTTTAACAAAAGAACAAGTAAAAATATCTTGAACTTATTGAATGGGAACTTGTGCAAGTCCAAATGGAAGACAAGGCTGAGCAGAATCCTACAGTTTAGTTAACTTGTGTCAAATGGGATGTGAAGACAGCTGCAGCTTTCTGACAGAGGTGATCGAAGATGGCTGATAAAGTTTGCAGTAGCTCATAATGTCCCACTGGTTTATTCACTTGTTTGGACTGCCTAAAGGGCCAACTGCAGCTTAGTCATGTTCCTCTGGTGCATGTTGTGATGACGAACTAATTCATCAGACCTGGCAAATTTTTTTTGACAGCTGGGCCACCGGCAACTGAAAGGCTTTTCACCTGTTAACAAAACACCCTGTTATTAACTGGGTATACAGCTTGCCTCAGACACTGCTATTTGTTTTCTTTCTGCAGGGCTGTAAGGGGTCAGGCAGAGCCCCTGTCAGGAGCAAAGGCATCCCGGGCCATCCTAAGAGAGTGTGGGAGAGCCCTCAGTCCCTGATCCCATCAGCACTCAGGGCTTTCCTACACCTCCCTCAGCTGATCTCTAACAACAGCCTTTTCAGATGACGTAGAACATTTTGCAGTGGTTCATTCCTGATGACAGGCCCTTATTGAACATCGCATTGCCATGTCTGTACTACTCTCAGGTCTTGAAGGAGCTAGTTTAAAAGTCACTCTGGCATTTGCACAAGATTCAGTCACACTGTAGTGCAGACATACTGTTAGTCACTGTGAAAATTGTCAGTGACTATTTAGAGCTTGACCTCAAGTCAAGGAGAGTTTTTCCAGCTAGTTCAATGAGTTTTGGCTGAAGTTCTTTGAAACTGGTGAGTGTAAGTGAATATGGTAGAAGCAATAGAGTTCAGCATAAAGTCTGCTGAGCCAGACTAAAACTTTCCCACTACTGTCTAAATAAAGTAGATGCACATCTATGGGAGATGTTGAAGGCTCAAACACTCCCATGAGCATAATCACTAAAAAAGACAATTCAATTTTAACAAGAACTGCCACCACCTTTTTACAGTTTAATCTGGTCTCTCGATTTTTTACAATGTTTAAGTGGAATTTCAGGCCGTGTTTGTGACGCCGCAGGAATGCTGATGGAATGCTTTCATTAGCTCAGAGCAGTGCCCGGTGATTCATGTTTCTTCTAGAACTGCATTTTCTCTTGTTTCCCAAAAAATATTTTAAAGTAGGTTCAGCTCTGGGCTGGGCTCTTCAGTGCTTTCTACACACCTTGTACTCTCCAATTCAAGATACCCTGGGGCTCACCCAGGCATCTTCTCCTCTTCCTTGCCTCACATGTGTATTTCACAAACATCAAACTCAGACAAAAGGGGATCTGGGGTTGGAGTAAATATGTATTTCTGTTTGCAAAATTCCATGCAATATATTTAAGGGTGTTTAAACTCTACTTTATCTACTTAACACACATGCTGGCAAAAGCATCAGCTATCTCACATGGGCGCATAAAACAGTATGAGAAAAAAATTACCTGGTCAGGGCTACTGATAAAAATCACAGATTGTATAAAGAGGTCTTCTTTCATCTCGGCAGCATTAGAAAAACCATCCTGTGAACTGATGTGAGTTACCTATCACTGAACCACCACAGTAAAAGCAGCAGAGTTTTGCTGTTTCACAAGCAATTCTGGTTGTCCTCTCACAACAAGAGGCAGCTATCTCTATTATTCCTGTGCTGGGCACAAATTCCTTTGCACAGCTTCTCTGTACAGATATCAGAAATCACATTTCCATTTCTAACAATGTATATAGATGTATGGAGTTGTTTTTTGATTCATTTTTTCTACAGCAAAGATTGCTGTCAGAGTAAAATTGCTTGTGGAGACAAAACCCCCTGAATTTGTAGCTTAACAAATAGCCTGGCAGTTGACTTAAAATTAGGGATGGAATTAGATGGAAGTCACCTATGCTTTCCTTCATCAAGATTTAACATGGAGCCTGTTAACTTGAGCAAGGTGGCTTATGGCAAAATTCAGGGAATACAAGAAAGAAGGGGGGACAAAGCTACAGGGCAAGATGGAGATGGGAAGTCCCCACCCACCACTAGTGCTCATTCCCATGGGAATATGTGTATTTTACAGTCAGAGCCTGACACATCCAAAACAGCCAACAGAACATCACAGCAACACACAGCTGAGCTGCAGAGCTCGCACAGAACCTAAACCAGTGGCAGGCAGTGAGCCCACCCAAAGGTCTGTGCTGCGAGGGCATCAGTGTGCAAGGACGTTGCTTCCAGCAATGACAGCACTGTGGGCTTGCAGCAAGGAACAACTAGAACAGGGATATGAGCTTCACTATTAAAAAAAAGAGCAAGTTCTTCACTGTTTTAGCTAACCTGGGGTAAAAAAATTACTGGAGTCACAAAAGTGTTGAATTGGCAGATCAGAACTGTGATGGGAAAATGTAGTTTATCCTGGCTTGCTAACACATGACAACCACTTGCCATTTGTTTCTACCAGAATGTTACCTCTTGCTGATGAAGAAAGGCCCTGCAACTCATCGTGAGACTATGGGGTGAGCCCAGGAACAGAGCCATGCACTTCACCATTTGCAGGTTGCAAGTGTAGATATGGCCGTTACTTGAAGCATCTATTTGGCCAGTGCCACAGAAAATGCCATGTTCTCAAGTGAATAATTTGTTTTATTAAAATTCCTCTTTTATTTTTGAAAGTATTAGATATGTGTTTTACGGTCCAGAAGAGAAATAAGAATCCTTAGCAGGGAGAAAAAGATTTTCAGGCTCCTTGTCCATCTGTACAGAGACTGAATTTAAAAGGTTAACACCAGTATAGAAAACCCTGTGACATCTAATAACATGTCAAAGTGCTCGGTAAACAATTACTTAGTCAAAATACTGCACACATAGTGGAAGGGAATAGAAAATGTCAGTTCACAGGAATAATTCTGAAACTTGAAACTAAAATGCAGAGGTTGCTGCAGTTGCTCCTTAACGGTTTTTACACTTACATGGGAGCAGAGTAGACTAAAATGGCCTCCTATTTTTTCCCTGTATTTATATAAAATACTGTGTTTTCCACAAAAAGGTCCTTGAATATCTGAGTAAGCTTTTGCTTTAGTGTCTGTCAGTGTGAGTTTGCAAAAGGCACTCCTTTTATCTTCTGGGGAGATTACAGTACAAGCAGCAAGAGCAAGAGCTTTGCCATACTATCCTGCATTAGGCTCAGCAGACACTTAAGAGAAGCATGAGTAGGCATGAATACTTTAGATTACAGACCTTCGGCTGAAGCTGGAATTAAAATTTCTGTCTTGTAGGGCTTTTCGGTAAAGACAATAGATCAACTTGACATTTGTGGGCTGAGACTATGATGTTCATTTCACAATAGCTGACAAAATAGATTTTGCCAAGCTGAAATGTCTTTAAACATGAAGAAAGCCTGGTTTCCAAAATCATCTAAAGCCCTTTGTGAAAAGTGACTGCAACACCTGGGGAATGTAGTCACATTGAAACACCAACACAGTCTGAAATTCTTTCTGTTATTTGAATATTTAACTCCTGGTTAAGAGACTTTCTAATCATATAATTTACAACAACATTGGATTTAAACTTTAAAAATAATGAAATATAAATGTGAAGAAAAGTTTACGCACTTGTTTTACCTGTATGAGTCCTGGTATGAGTCTTCAGATGATCAGATCTGGAGAACTTTCTCTGACAGGTTTTACATTGGAAGGGCTTCACGCCTGAAGAGACCAAAGAAAAAAATAAAATCTATCTTATATCCCAACACCTTTTGGAAGAGTGAAAGAAATCAGCTATTTCTGAATTCTGAAAAAGCCTGGTGGGTTAGTACTAGCTACTGGAACTGCTCCTCCTAACTTCATGCCTACAAATTATAGAAAGTCATTAATTAGGCTACCATCCCTTTGTAACCTCTTCTTCTGATGTCTGGGGCTGAAGCATCCAAACAGTACCATTATGAACAAACACCCACTGTTGGACTAAGCAGGATCTGCAAATGTTAATTCTGATCCTGTGGCTTGGCACCAGTGCTATCATGTATGAGCAACTATGACTTAAGAATAGAAGTATGGAGGTACATATTTATATGCTCCAAATAGCCTTACACTTCTACTACTACTTTACACACTACAGATAAGTCTTGGGGACTGCTTATCACAGATACGTTCTAGTATGCAGTTGCTAAAAACATATCATACCAAGAGAGTACTTTTACACCAGCTTTCAAAGACACTTCCTACATGTCCCAATTATACCATTTAAATGAGATAGAACATCTTGAGCAAGAAATGTGGTAGGCAGAAATCCACCACACAACAGTGAGTAAACCAGTTGTCAGGCCACTCCCCAAAATACAGGAGATCCAAATGCAATTTCTTGCTGCAACTCAGAGGAGCACTCTGAAGCCCTTTCTCATGTTCCATAGGGCGTTCCCTCATGGTTCCACTCTTGGCTAGGAGGCTGAACTCATCACCACCTCATCTTCTGTGACTTAGAGAAGGGCTGCTGCCTTCTTTGTCAATCTAGTCTAGACTTCCAAGAACTCCTGAAATGCTGAAATAGGCTGTCCTGACATCTCCAGAAAATGGTGTCTGTGCAAAAAAACAACATACTGCATTTGGACTGAACTCACAAGCAATTTCAGCTGTCTCAGAACATTTCGCCCTCTCAATGATCCACTGAGAAAGACAGGTCCTGGACACAAGCCTAGATAGGACCCAAACCCTCATTACTGCTTCGCCCTCTCTGCCGTACATAAACTGCTATACACTTTCCAGGCTATTTTTGCAATCCAGTCAGCCAGATCTTTGGCGTTTGTCTCCTTGCTACCCCTGGAATCCTTCTTTAGTTGACAGACTTCAGAAACGGTTCAAATCTACGATTAAGTGGTTTGCTGAATTAAGATCTTAAGCACTATAGACAGCACAGCTTTTCTTTTTCCATTTCTGTCCACACAGACATGCACAGTAATTCCACCAGCCTTTCAGGTCAGGCACGTGCAGAATTCACCTGTTAGCACTGCCACACAAGCATCAGAATAGCAACAGTAGTGTTTATCAGGCAAATTCTTGCAGAACTGTTTTGGGTTTTTTTAAATAACAGATTCCCTATATTGGGGGTGCAGTATAAAGCAAACAGTTTCATTAAGAAAGCTGTTTCAGCAGCAGGATGAAAGTGTTGCAGTGCTAATAAAAACTCCAGCTACAGCCCTCTCCTAAATCTAACTTCAAGGGTTTGGCACTGTGGGCATTGTGTATGAGCAGACACATCATAAGAGAGGTTCAGAAGTAGACTTTTTAGATCACAACTGACATCTAAAGATGAACTACAGTGAGTAGAGGTGTGCTGTCAACAAACCTGTGTGTCGTCTTTGGTGGCGTTTGAGTTGGTCTGAACGGGAAAATCTTCGTTCACAGTCCTTAAAATCACACTGATAAGGCTTTTCACCTGCAAAGGACAAACAGTTTATCAGAATATGTGGCTAGGTGAGGGAACACATCAGCTAGAATGAGAAGTAGACTTCTCTCTTGCCTAAAGCAGCTTACTGGTACCCCAAGACTCAAGTACTATAAACCCATACAGCTGTGTTGGGATCAGTGGGGAAAGGATGGCATCATTCTACTGCATCTGCACTGATAATGAATCTGCTCATTCTAAAAAACAAACAAAAAAAAAAATTAGGTAAAAGCTACAGAAATATTCCAGTTGCATGGGTTTTGGTTGTTGTTTTCTGCTGGAAAAGAACAGAAATCTCTTGGTTTATATTTCTCTGAAAACCATGTTAAGGCCTTTCCACCTGTTTCAGTAATACATATTCTGTACAAAGGAACAACTTAATTTTAAAGCAAAACCTAAATAAATGTCATCCATGTAGGTGGCAATTTTAACCATTCTAAATTAAAACAAATTAAAAGAAACAGAGCAAAATTCAACCACAGAAAAACACATATTCTTCCCCAAAACACAAATGATGTTTCTCTCATAAAGCACCATTAAATAGCATTTCTCATGTAGCTGCACACCTCCTGCAGGCAAGCCTGTGAATTATTGCAAATCCCCCTGTAAATATAAACTCCTTCTCCACCTCCCATGCAGCTCAGCAGAGACCATTGGGATGGCTTTTCTTTGGGACAAAAAGTGAGATTCTGGCTTTTCAAAAAAAGGAGCCCCCTACAAGATAGTGTCTCAAATGAATGTGGCTTTCAGCCAACGCAAAGGACCAACAATATACACATGCAATATACACATGCAAAAACAAATGCAGCAATCAAGGAGCTTGAGGAAAGAGAGAAACACTGCTGGCATGTAGCGTACCACACAGTTGGTGAAATTCAGCCAGCACACAAAACAATAGTCCTCATGCTGCTACAGAAGTAGCTGTATGATCTTTCAGATCTGATTCACACACTGGAATCCTGAAAAAGCCTCAGATATAATCACCTTTATCCCTACATAAGGTCTGGTGACAGAGCCACAGCCTTGCACAGAGGCCTCAGGACAAGAAGTAATGAAACATCTCTTGCTTCAAGGCTGGGAGAATCCTGGGTTTTATCTGCAAGGTACACACAAGACCAGCTGGGACCTGCTTTTGTCTACTGTGGAACGCTGAGATCTAAAACAAAGGTCCAGGAGGAAGGACCTGAGGAAAAACATCAGCTGACATGCATAGTGGGGTTAATTTCTCCGGGTATGTTTTTAAAAACCTATCAGTTTCATAAATCTCCACAGAAGTGTCTGTATTTCTGATTTTATTATGATGACATGTATTCTGGTTGCATTGGTATTCTGAGATACCAGTGCAAACTAGTTTAGTTTAAAGCAGAAGCCTTCTGACCTAGGCAACAGAGCATAAGTAGCATTTTAAGGACAGCATTTCAAATACTGTGTAGCTAAAATCAAAACCTTACAAAAGCAACTTAATCTGCAAGAACAAGCTAACTTCCTGTGCCAGTCACCCAAAGGAGTTTACTGATTCTCAGACCTAGGTGTGGACAATTTCCATGTCTGCTGTGCTTAATTTATTAGCATAAGGGATTAAAGTTGCCACAGGTGTTTGAAATAGCTCCGTACACTTTGACCGCGTGGACTTCCCAGGGGGTGCCTGCTTTTCAGAAATCACTTACTTCCAAGGAATTCAGCCCTTTGGCAGATTTAAGAGGAGGAATGTCAGCAGAGCAGAATGCAGTGACAGGATGATTGTCTGCTAATTGCAATATAAACTCAGAAGATGGTTAAGGAGGTATTTGGATAAAACAGTATAGTGGGTCTAATGGCATGCACACAAAACCATTTATTTAAATACTTTGAAATACAACCTTAATTAAATTAAGGACAAATTTGACCAATGCATGTATTAAAGGAATCAGTCCAAGATGCTTACACAAAGATATGGTGACACTGCCTAGAAAACAAAAAGCAAAGAGACAAAAAAAGGCACAATATTTGGACAGAAATCCTAATTTCCTTTTCTTTCTACACCTTCCACATCAGCTAGTGCCAAGCAAAATGCCTGCCAACACCAACTGTCACATACCTGTTACCGCCCAGAACTTCCATCAGAACAGGACAACATGAATGACCCAGATTGGAAGTCTGTGAGTACCTCATCATATCACTATACCGAGAGGGGGTGGAGCAGTGTCTAGTTTCCCCAGCCCTATTAAATCCTCTCCAGTAAAAGAATAAAGTCTCTTAATGTATGAGAACTATTCCATAATGCTGTCACCTTCCCACAGGACCACATACAATTTCAAAACAAAACAGGACACGAAGATGGAGCTTCCCCAGTCCTTCCACCTGCAACTTGCAGGCTTCCAGGATTACTTATATTTCATTATTGAGAGAGGGTACACAAAAGGCTAAACTCAGTGCGTAATGAAGTAGTTGGGAGAGGACAGAAGGAATAGCAGTTCTTTAATATTTAGGGAAATATTTGGAAAAAATAAAGGTCAACAATGGCAAGCAAGTATGAATCAGCCTTTGCACATATCGTAATAAATGCTTCTAATAAAATAAACCTATTTGTTCAAAAATAGTTAAATCAGAGGAACCTACACATTTTCTCTGGAGCAAATTCATTTGCCCAGACACATGGGAAAAGAGAAATTCCTACTGCTGTAGCAGCTGCACAAAATATTCACAATCATTGCATTTAATTACAGAGAGCTTCAAGAGTAAAAGCCCACTGCTAACAAGAAAGCATGAGGAGAGCAAGCTGATTTTGAAACCAGAGGCTGCAAGCCTCAATGAGAATCTGAAGGTCTATATGCCCTGCACCAATTTAAGCCCCTTTTTCTTGTATACACACCTAAGTACATGAGTACAACCCTGTAATCACAACTTTACCTCAATAATATAACATATTTCTGTTCAAAATAACTTGTTTCAGCAAACACAGATAAAATGTGTGTCTCTATTTAGTAGGGAGACTTTATAGGTAACGTTTCCTGTCATTGTCATACCATAGTTCAGATGTGAGATGTCATTATTGTTTTGAGACTAATCTTGTATTTTAAATACATAAGTTTACCATATCTGTACACAGAGGACATAGCTCTGTCTTTCAAAGGGGGTGTAATGATGAACTGCACTAATGACTGTAAAGCAGTTAGCAGCACAGTGGCACATGCCATAATAAGATCATTTTTGTCAAAGCAAAGAAATCCTTGCTAGATGATTAGTATAAAAGTCATGATTAGACTGTGTTACTTACACCCCCCAGAGCCCCAGAAAGTCATCACCAAGACCTGAGTCCCTGCCACACAAAAGACAACCTTCATCAGTTACAGATTCTCACACCTCACTGTTAGAAGTTCACACCCACAGTTGTGCATATTTAGGCTGAGGAATATCCATGGCAAGCAGGCAGAGGGTATTTTCTCTGCAAAAAAATGCTCAGCTTTCCATCAAGATAAATCCAGTTTTTCCAGTGTGTGGCACTGAACTCAAAGGATCTCTGGCAAGAATATTGTTTCCACCATAAATAAAATTTATGGAGGTCTAGACATCAATTTGTTTCTGCAAAGAAGTCTCTGAAGTGTGCCACAGGATGACAACTCACATTATTTGCTGTACTGTTAAAAAATTAGATGTATTTTTGCATTTCCTTTCAGAGGCCTATCTACTGCAGCAAAATACACAAGATAACAAAAAAAAGCTTTTTTGGCTGAACATGTTTCAATAAAGGCATTGTTAACAATGGATAAGCAGTCGTGGAGGGTCCAAAATGTCAACATATTTTCAATGAATGCAATGTTGAAACATTGGTAAAACTGGTTACAGAATCCAACTTTGCTTTTCAGGGCCTTGCTTGATTTTGCAATACTGCAGCTAGTGAAGAATAGACAATCTGATGAGCTGGCCCTCTGCAAGTATCTTACAGTGAGGAAAAAGATAATCAAGAGCCAACATTGTCCTGCAAAGATACTATCTGCTGTATTAAATGTATGTAACAGCTTGTTTTCAGATCCTGTGGTCATCATTTTAAAAACTGCCCTACCACTACGCTAAGAAAGGTGCAAGAGCTTCAAGCCCACAAGTGCATCCATAACAGTACAGGAGGGCTGTAGAGAGGTATACCAATCCTCCACTTGAGCTGGTATCTGACAGCTCTCCTGACTTCAGACTGGCTTGTCAGGATTCCTCCCCATCAAAACACTGAAGCATAAGAAAAAGAGACATATCCCTTTTTTTATTAAGAGTATTAGATGTTCTGACTGCCAACCACTACCCTAACTGTTATCAACAAGACCAGCACTTCCCAAAATTAGGACTAACAGACCACAGGAGGAGACAAGAAATAGAAATAATCATATTCTAAAATCTCTACAGGAGCTGGAAATTGGTAAGTAAAATTTCCAGACCATAATCATATGAAATGTCTAGCACCCATTCAACAGCCTGAGGACAAAACCCTGCCAGGTTAACGAAGAGGACATTCCTATTTCTAAATCTGAATACATCAGCTAGGTGAGTTTCCAAGCAGGTCTCATACCAGCAGTGCACTATCACATGCTTTACTCTCTTTAGCTGCAACCAAATTCAAAAGCTTACATGGCCTTGTTAATGGCAATGCTTGTATCAGCAAATACAAGCCTTGGAAATCAAGTTGCCCTGTTTGTCATGGAAAGTAACTTGCAAAGGTTGTCAACACACCAAAATACAGCGGCAGAAAGATCTTGGCCCACCTGTACAGAAGAGATGTTTGAGGGAAAGAAAAGTTCTTCCCCTACCCTGTTCCACTTTAGCATAAACCAAAGGAGGGGCATGTATGACCTCAAAGACAATGGGAGGAATCTCTCCAGGGATGTCAGATGGCTGTAGTCCTAATCCCCTACTCCCTATGTGTTTTGGGCCTTTCGTGACTCTGCATGCCTAGATCATATGTGGTGTAATTCTGCAAATCTTCAGTTAAGAAAAAAAATATATCTAAGCTGAAGTCCTTGTGATACATCCAGGAATAACACTGCAAAAGCCAAGCAACTAAAGGGAATAAAATACAGGACCAGAACAAATAAATTATGACTGTTACAATACAATTCAGGAATGAAAGAAATCTTGATTATGAGAAAAAAAAGAACTGTTTGGACATACTCAAGAAAAATACTGCAGCTAACGGACCCCAAAAGATGAACACATTTTCTTGTTTCCAGTTTATTTACAGATAACAGAATAGCATTTCTGTAGATCTTCATCTCCAAAGATTCAATTCCAGTTACAATTTAAATTATCTTGAATGTGGAATCTGAGCAACGCTGAAGATGTCTATCTGAATATTTTGTGATTGGCCCATTCAGAGATTGAAAATCCTTTGTAATGCTCATTTCTCACCTGTAAGAATTTTACACAATTAACTAATGTCACTACATGGTCTCCAAAAGGAAAAGTTATTATGAAACATTGGACAAGCTGCCAGGTCACACAGAATTAGTTGCTCTGCCCTCGTCCATTTCACCCTTCTGACTTCCTATCAGGTTAATGGCCAAGTGAGCATCCATATTTACAGATTTTATGCACAGATTTCTAGATTAGCACAGAAAGAACTGTCTAAATGGAAATATGATAGGCAGTCCAAAAAATGTATAAGGAGCTTATATAAAGGTTTATCATAATTCTACATTTCCAACAGAATAAATCTCCCAATAGGGAAAATATCTTTGTTTACTCTTCGGCAAGGTGCATCAGAGCATTCGATTTTCACATTTTGAGATGGAACATAGATTGCCTGAGCTCAAAGAGAATTCAGATCTTAGCCTACAAATGACTCGTTTCAGGCTCAATTCTTCATGGAAAAGTGCCATTTGAGGAAACTCATTTGCCAATCCCTGCCTCTTACCCCCAGCCAGAAAAGACTTCCTCAGGAGGACAAGAAGCTGCTAAATGTCTAGGTTCCTCTTGCAGAAGAAACTTCTTAATAGTTAACAATAGTTAAGATTTGAAGCAAGCCTTGATGCTGCAAAATGGAGGGAACAGAGACAGGGACAAGATGATTCACAGCTCTGAATGGTGCCCTGTAACAGTAAGAGAGGGAGGGAGGTGATCTTCCTGCTGTCAGCACTGCTCTGTGTTTTTATTCACCAGTTTCAGTCTTCTGCATCCAAAAGAGGGATTGCCCAGCTGACAGAGCACATACATACTCATCTGGCAGACTCTGTCTGCCCCTGACCTGTCAGGTCATTTCTTGCACCTTATGCTATTTTAAAACCACCCTACCCACTCTGCTGTCCAGTGCTGTGACGTGATTTATACCAACCAGTGCTGACACTCACCAGTGTGCTTTCTGCTGTGCATCTGTAAATGGGACAACTTAAAGTATCTCTTGTTGCAGCCAGGGTACGCACACATGAAGGGACGTTTTTCATTTGTCTCACTTGCTGATCGGACAATAGTCGGAGCTACTCCTGGCACCCGTCGGACATCCTACAATGACAGAGACTTGCTAATGTAACATGCATGTTCTCAAGCTTTTACTAACATATTCAAAGACAAACAATCAGAGGCACTTCTCCAGGACAGAGCTATTTAAATACACTGCAAACTGTAAAACACTACTTTAACAAAGTACAACCTTACTATACATTTAATCTGTTAAACTCTGTTTATTAAATTCTCACCAAATATTGATGTGGAAGTTTAAATAGGCCACGTTCTGACTTCAAGTATAATCACACAATTCTGCAAGAACACTCGGCATATAAAGCAGTTTTAGGCTTATAGTAGTGTAAGAGATATGAGCATGAGCCAGGGTAGCATTATCCTCTTTATTTTAAATACTCATATGAAGTTTAAGGACAGGGAAATTAACATATTGTCTTAATTCAAACTGGCAAAAACAAAACAAGAAAGCCCATCTAGGTGGAGCTAGTGAATAGTTCAGCCTTAATGCATTTTGGCCACTGTCACAATGTTCCATCAAAGATGATCTTCTCCTTCTGGAACAATTAACTTCCTTAAAGAATGTCATAGAATCCTAGAATCATAGACTAGTTAGGGTTGGAATGTCAACTGTTTACTTTTACTCACTCCACAAAGCTCCCTCACAAGCCTATTTCTGAGAGCTTGCCACTGAATAATGACTTATTAAACTGTACAGAAAAGGAAAAGAAGATGCTATCTACAGACACTGGCATATGTTGACAATAGAGAGCAATGCAGAAGAGACAGATACTTTGTAATGACTTTGTCATCAGTTTTAAGAATGTATAGTTTCTACAGTGGTATTTATTGATTATATGACTTTCAGAAAGGGAGGAAATTAACTTCCTTGAATGGTAAGTTCCTCCCAAATATTCACTGATTACTTAGTCATTAGGAAACAATCACTTAGTATATTTTGTTTTCAGGAAATATATTTGCATTAGTAAAGCCTCAGAAATCCGTAAAAACAAAATGTCGTCTAACACTTTTTTGTATATAGTTATCAGACGTAGTCCATCGTAACCATGGAAGCCTCACACAACCACAGTGACTAGAGCTAGAAGGTGGAAACTGGATTGCATGTTTTGGAACATCCTGAGAGGCTGGTAAGGAATACTGCCCTGCAGACATACTTTAGAAGAGGAAATAAACAATTTTAAATGACTGTCAGAAAGAAATCTTACACTGTACTTCAATGGCTTCAGTGGAGTCAGGACACTACGTAAAGCATTTCTTGATAACACAGGAAAACCGCAAACCAAGGATGGATAAATACCAGTGAAATAGTACACAGACAATATAAACAAGCAGCAGTTTTACTTCCCTAGGAAGAATGTCCTACCATACTCACTTGTATGCCTCTAAAAACTCCATGGGTATGTATTCTGTATTGGGCCCCACAGCTGTACAACATGGGAGCACTGTGGTTCTCATTTTCATATCCTGCTGTATGGCTGTAAATAAAGAGGAGAATAATGAGAAAATTAGATATTTTTCAGTACTCAGCTCCATGTGAGAGGTTTCATTTCTTAAGTCAGTAGTAACACATGCAGAGTTTGCTTTCATAGCCCGGATATCCAAGTTCAAATTCAATTCACCAAAGGAAGCCTGTTCCACCTTCAGATCGCGCTGGCACTGTGCACTGACTCCATCCATACACCTATTAGCATCCACTATGACAGCCCAGTAAAAGAAAAAATTAAAATATTGTCATGATTTGAACTCTGATGTATTTCCACAACGATTTTAGGTAAGAGGGAAAAATCCCCACAGCAGCATGACCGTGTCATGTGCACATGTACACATTATTTTTCAGTTAAATGTGGGGCTGCCTATTGCTAATATCTTTTGGAATGAGCAAAATGCCTCAAGTTTCACATTAAGTGCAGTGGATTTTTGTCAGCACCTCATGACCGAGATATTACCAGATACTACCAAGAAAGTGATGACATTTATAAGAATAGCAGTCATGTACTCATAAACAGAGATTACAAATCAGTGTCTGAACTATTTATCCCACATATCAGCTTGGAGGATGCGTTACAAATTACCTCCTTATAAAAATACAACTAAAAAAAAAAACCAGCCTCTCCCTACCAGGTATTTACATACCCTTCTAGGGGTAAATTTTCAAGATCACTCATGCAGCATAATCACAATAGCTTAAAACGTCTGTAGCTTTTGTTGTGTTTTGGGGCCGTCACAACCATGTGCTCTATCTAGTTACATTCTTCAAAAACCTATCTTCTCTTATCCAGAATGTTAGGAACATTGCTGTGCTTCCTGTGTGCAACCTTCTTAATGACAAAATTACACAGATAAATTTGAGGGTTTACTTTTAAATGTGCATGTTACATTAGTGCAGACATTGACACGTGTATTAATATACATTGGCAGCAGTAAGCGTTCATGTTTTACACTGCACTAGACATCAGAAAGGCCAGAACAAAGCCCAGGGGGCACACAGCTAGGGACAGAGATGGATACATAGGATGTTATCCCAGTCTTTGCCAAATGCTTGCAATAGCAATTTGAAAGGGTCCCTGAGGCCCAGGCTCTCATTTCACTGGTCCTTCCTTTCTCTTCACTCAAAGTTCATGTGCAGAGTAGAATTACGAGGAAGTCTTAAACCTCTTACGTGATTTGCAGAGCAGCCAGAGGAACTGGAATGCAGGAGATGTCTAAATGGTTTGTGAACCTGACTAAGCAGGAGGGAGCAGGGCTTGTGAACAGCTCCTACTGCAGCCTTCCTCAGTAGTTGTCCCAATAGTGGCTTGCAGGCTGCCATCTGGCAGATGACTTCCTTTACATCAATCCCTGTGCTGCTTAAAATACCAGTTTCAAACCCTGGCTTCAGCTGGCTATTCAAATCAAAGGCTACACCTTTTAGGAAGGTACTCTCTGTTTATTTCAGTTTTAAGTAGCAAAGAGGTGATCATACTGAGTTAAGTTATAGGGCAGCAGCAGGAATATCTCTCTCATGTAATAACAGATAAAGGAAGATGCCATTATCAGATTAAACTCTATATATGTACCATGAATTTCATCATTAGTCACCCTAACAGTGTAATGTCTCATTCCCGCCTGTACCAGCCATCTTCCACATTACAACAAACAAGAGACACGTAGCTAGATAAGAGGATTTCCCAGAGCAGAAACTTTGGAAGGAAGATGTAGTAAAAGCTGATGCCATAAAACACAGCCTAACTCTCCCTCCAGATTCACACGGTTTTCATCTTTCAGTGATAACCATTTCTGCAAAGACCAGTCAGTTCTGAAATAATCCCTCCCAGGAATAAGAAGCAGACAAAGACCCTGTCTGTGCCCTAAGGAATGGCTCTATGAATGGGAAGTATCCTCCAGATAATCTCCACCTCCAGTTTTATTACACAGTTGGGAAGCCCTCCAGTTTATTACACAGTTGGGAAGCCCTCCTCAACATTCAGCCTTTTTCACGTTTCCTCCCATTATTTCTAGTCATACTTCACTAAAACTGTACACACAACTGCAAACCCTTGAAGAGTAAAACCTGTTTTCTGAGCCTTTTGACTCATCACATACTAAGTGCTTAACACATCCCCTAGGAAAAACGCATCAATAATCAGTTCCCATTTTACGCTGGGCACATTTCCATTGACATTGGCTGGTACTCAGCACGCTCATATGGATGATGACAGCAAAATGGATCACATGAGATTTCATGGATAAAATGCAATTTGTTCACTATGAAGCACTATGGAATAATCTGGCCTTCACCTGTAACAGAAATTACAGGTAAATCCTCTTTCCAGTCAGTGGAGAAACAGAAATGCTGGAGTTTTCACCACTGCTCCCTTGAACTTCAGCCTTCACTCTCCACTGACAGCCATCTCACTGTGAAATACAATTTTTGTCTTCCCACCTCTTTGCCCAATGCAGCCAGATGTCTGCCACAAACTCTGTTGCTCAGTTGGCTTATTGCATACTGCTGCTAAAATTTATATGCTAAAATAAAAGCACTGATAGAAAAATTGATTTCTAAATCTCTTAAATACATTACTGAAACTCTGCATACAAGAGGTAATGATCAGATGCAATACCACATACATGAGCAATAGCAGTCACTGATGAATTTAGCAGTGCATTAACTGAATGGAAATCTTAAGCAGGTAGGAGATGTCTTAACTTTCATCTTTTCTAGTCAGTTATTCAATGTTTAACTAGGCAAAGAGATGATGCCTCATACACTTAGGCCACTAAATCTGTAATTATAATAATGAAAAATTATCCTGATAGACTCTCAGGACTAGGTAACAGACTAGACCTCCACCAAAGCACTGCAACGTGTCCACCCCATATCCACTAACAGTACATGCATTATAAATTAAAAAGAACATGGAATCACAGAATGGTTTGAGTTTAAAGGGAACTTAAAGACCATCTAGTTCAACCCCCAAGACAGCCAAGAAGGTACATTAGAGATTAGACAGTGCTGTTCACATGAACACTGATAACCCAGGGTAGGTAAACACTGATACTTGGGGAGAGACAGGCTTCTGGGACCGGGAGACATGAGTTCTCTCCCAGCAGGATGGGCTGCTCAGGCAACACCAGAGCAGTCTGGAGAGCTGCCAACGGAGCCCCTCACTGCCCTGCTGTGTGCACTCAGAGCATGGCTGAGAGCATGGCCAGAGTTCCTACACTGCACCTTCCCCTGCTTCAAGGGCTGAGCAGGCCCCAGGAGGAACTCAGCTAAAGCCAGGGGGAAAACACGGCTGAATTAACCAAAGGAGAAAAACAAAAGATCCCCAGTAAGGCCCAGAGTTATAGTTAGGAGAGACATTAAACCGATCCTGCCACAAGTCCTAAAAGGAGTAAAAATTAATCAAGGCCAGATGCAGTCAAACTGGCCTGCCAGGATCTGACAGAAATCTTTGCTGGAGTAAAGACTAAAGGACATAGCCTCACAGTCTAGTTCCACCTTTACTTGTAAGTACACAGCTCCCTTCGGCTTCAATGGGAAATGCACAAAGGCAGAACTGGAGTATAAATACACAGAATTGGAGTTAGCTGGTGAAAAAAGGGCTCAGTATGTTTTGTTCTCTGGTTCTAGACAGCCAGAAGCAGATCTGGAAACCTGGCCACAAACCCTATCTCTAGATAACTGGGAAACAAAGACTGATACTTCTGCAACGGCACCCACTAAGCAGGAGCAATGTGCTGCAGAGGGTTTAGAAGTGCTCACGTTTACCATTAGCCCAGCAAATCCTTAACACTCGGAGAGTAGCTCTTTTAAAATGATTAATCTCAGAGTTGTACAGATTGTACAAAGATTAATAAAAATGAAGGTTTTACAGATGAGAATGTGTGATGAAAAACAGAACAGCTTTAGAGAGCTGTATCAATCTAAGTGGTTATAAAAAAACTCATAAAAGATGACATTCTAATCTGAATATTTTAAAAAACAATCAAGCTGCAATTTCTCTCTCACACCATTTTTACTTTGCTAAACTGAAACTGCCTGTCTAATGTATAAAGCAGTTACAACTTAATCTGAAGAGTTACGCTTTTTATTATTATTTCATAAACCAAAAAAGGGAAGCTTTAGGGTACACTGAGGAGAGTTAGAAAATTTCAAATGAAATGTGAATGCACATTGATTCATGAGATTCAGACTTGGAAGAGAAAAAAAAAAAGCCAGAAAGCAAGATTACATAAACCAGGCACCACATTAAGCCTCAATTTAATTGTGTTTCAATGCAGGAACAGGAATTTTAGGGTTTAGAAACAGAGCCAAAAATGAGGCAAAGTGAGGGTGTGGGCTAGTCCCGTTGATAACGGAACATAAAGGAAGAGAAGTAGAGTTAATTCCCTCTGCTAAAATATTTACCATCCTAGCACCCTGGGAAAAATATGTACGGAGACAGCAAAAAGATTCTGATTAGTTATAGAGAAGATCATGTTTCTGCCTGTTTTTTGTCTAATACTATTACGGAGGGTGGAGTATAAAGCTGCATTTTTATCTGCGCTTTCTGAGGCAAAGGAATATTAAAACATGTGATTTCACAGATTACAGCCCCTCTGCCATCTCCAATGAGAAAACCAGCTGGCTGAGGAAAGGAAAGCACTGCATCTTCAGGGGACCCTCGTCTCTCTGACTTCAATAGTCTTTGTTCGATTTGGGGTTTTTTTACCATTGACCTGAGTGGAATCAGGATTTCACCAACACTTCCCTTCAAAAATGGGACCCTCAGCTATCAGTGGGAAAGGGGAAATTCAGTATTATAGACAATAGGTTATTGTCCACTTCCAATTCATCTTGACTGCAGAACTGAACCCAAGTAGGAAGTTTTGCACCTCCAAATTTTACTGACAATACCAGCAAAGCTAAACAGAAAAAACTTTACAATTCGCTCCTAGACAAAATAAGCATTCACTGTCTTGTTTTAGATGCAGCCTTAATGGTGTTTGATACAGATCATGCCTAATCTTCTTTCCAAACAGCAACAAATACAAAGTTTCAAGGAATGTGACAACTATATAACACCCAAGCAAACACAATAAGGGGGGGGGGAACAAACAAAATTTGTCTGGCTAGATTCTCAATCTCAAATGACTGTTTGACTGTTGGAAGTACAGATCAAACCTTTTTACTTGAGCAGCTAAAGAGACCACTAGGCAATATTTCTGCTAAGTCTTGCTGTTGGGTATGTGGCTGTGCTCCTTGGCTACCATGCCATATCATTTCCTTCTTGGTCAAAGTTTTTTTCCATGTCACTTTTATAAAGAGCTCTTGACATATCAAGGAGGGTTTTATAGTCCTGAGGTCTACCTCGACAACACCACTATGAAGGGAAGCAGTATTTTCCACATTGAACAAATAAGAAAGCAACACCAAAATATTAAGGACAGAAAGGTGTCCACTAATGTGGGACATCCATTTTGAGGTGTCTGGGACCTGAGTTCTCAGGGTAATAAGCAAAGGATCCAGTGACTTTCCTGCCACAGTATAAATCTGATCTTAGCTGCTCCAAACAAAATACCAGAGAATGAGGAACAAACCTCAAACAGCCTGAAGAGATAAAATTCAGTCCCGTGGTGATGTTCACTGCCATAACCGCAACACTTTCTTTTCAGATCCTTAAAGCTGCCAGTTTGTGTGACAGCTCTGGCAGACAAGCCAGCTCTCCCTCATCTACCCCAAGTTCAGAAGATGGCAGAGAAATCCCTGGACAAACAGACACGTAACCAACACAGTGGCTCTCACAGAACTCTTCATGAGTTACAAGCGTAACTTGAGCTCAGTCTTTGGCATTCAGAACCTAAGTGACAGTCTACAACACAGATTCCAGTCACTTGGACTACATGGTGGCAGTGGTGAGTTTTCTTCTCCAGGGACAACTCCTCACAGAGAGGATCTCAGTTTGGGCCATCAGACCTCATGCTGGTTAGCCAGCACATAGAAACCTCTAGAATTCATGGCTGCAGCCTTTTCTATCTTCTTCCACATTTACAGCTCTCTCCCCCTCCCCTGCCAGTCTATCACACTGATGTACTCTGCCAGGAGACACTTCTAATCACCTTACGTGTCTCCACCACTTAGCAGTGGCTTGCCAGGCACTCTACTCCATACCTTTTACTGCCCACTTCTGTCACTCCAGCCATGTCTTCTGCACTTTCTTATGCTTACACCTGCTGAAAGCACTCGAAGACTAAAACTCACCAAGATGAAGAAACATTAAAACATCCCTAGATGTTTAAACATTAAAATATCCCTAGAGAGAAAAACAATCAGGATGAACAGTCTTCTAAAGCCTTAAAGCCATGGGCTAAAACAGATTCTGAGTGGATAAATTAATTCAATAGGTTAAGTGCCAGACTCTTGCTTCTGAACACACACAAACAGGACTGTTCATAAGCTTGCAGCTCAGTGGGAATGACCTTCACAATACCTGAGAAGGACACAACTTTGGCCACCTGACAGTATTCCTTGCCAAATTCCAAACTTATAATCTGGACTGAGGAGATGAGGCAAACATTGGCAAGAATGTAAACAGCTAAAAACCAGAATGCTCCCAGATAAATTGAGAGATAACTCAAGTACAGAAGCTGCTAGCTAACTCTACCTGAAATGAATGGCAACAGCTTCATTCCAGTATATTAAACTCATGCTGAAGAGGAACGCAGAAAGCAAGCTGCTGAGCTGGTCTGCTAACAAGTGTAAAGTGTATGACCGAGAAGTTTTATGTAATTGTAGAGTTCTCTAGCGATTTGCAGAACCTCCTGGTAATGTTTTCAACCTTCTTATGTTGTGCAGAAGTCTTAACGAGGCCAGGAAGAAGTGCTGGGGAGAACCTAAGGCAAGGAGCTAAACAAGGACTGTCATCATCGGACACAATCTAGAAGCTCCATATTTCAACAGAAAGATCAATTCCAAAATTCTTAAATTACAACTACAAGATTGAGAAAAGCATCTGAAATACAAAACGCCTGGGAATCACTTATGAACAGTTCATATATTTTAAAGATGTAAATCTTGGGAAGAATACCTTATGTTCATGGCAACTGAGATTGGAGGTACTGCGTGTTGTAACTCTCAGCCAGAAAAGACAGATAACTATTTTGGCTCATATTACTAGTGATGAGGCTATGTCTAGTACTGATTTTCCACAGATTCTACGATCTTGGCCTATACCAAAACTTTCATCTTTGCTTTACCATAGATCATTCATCTTGATTTCTCCCCCCTCCCCTTTCATGCATCCTAGGTCACATACTTTACACTGCTAACAGTCTGACTTCTGGACAAGTAAGAAGCCATTTATTTTGCTCAGTACTCCTTTAATATTTCTATTGTGTCTTTATTTTTTTTTTCACTGAGTTCCCCAAAGAATAATGTCTTCCTTGCCTTAATAACTTGGATCTCAGTCAAGGTTGATATGTTTCTCCATTCTGCAGGACATTTTCTTCAGAAGAGACAAAACAGTGTCTAATATTGTAATGACTGATCTTTAAAGGGTACAGCTTAAAAAGGAAATCAAAAACGCTTTTGGAAAAAATAAAGTAGGAAATAACCTTTAAAAAGAGAGGATTGGCAGCAAAGACACTGAACTGTACACAGCTGAAGGACTTGGGGATCTTCTCTGACCAGAGAGCTCCTTGAGAGCTTCAGGCTTAATTCTCCCATTCATTTCAATACAGATAGCTTAATATGCTACTGTTTTCTCCCTCTAACCTTCAAACACCATTTGTGAATGAACTACAAGCAGACCCATAATATTTTTTCCTTTGTCACACTACAGCATGGTACACCAAGTCCATCTTGAAGCAGTTTTCCATGTTTATGGATAACTACATGAAAGCATAGGTCTGTACGGGCTAGACCTCTCCTGTTGTACACTTGAGGCCGCACACACTTAGACACTGAGAAGATCTCACAGTAAGTTGGTGATACCTACCTTTGGGGCTCAAGGCCAATTACCTGCCCGGAGCAGAGCAGGCAATCTTTGGCTTTACCTTTGCTAAGGACAAAAGGTGCCTTTTGCTCATGGTGGATGAAACAAGGTGAAAATGGGGTAGCACACCAGACCAGCTCAGTCCTCTCTTGCGCCCCCCTAGTGCCAGGGCTACTAGAAGAACCGAGCACCGGCTGCCGAGCGAAGCGGCTGCGGCCCCAGCCCCGGCCCGAGAGCTCTTTGCCGCCCTGCTGACTCCTTCCCTGTCCACCCCAGCACCTGGCCGTGGGCCCAGCGCCGGGCCCGGGGCAGCGGTAGGCTGGGGCAGCCCGCAGCACGGTTCCCCCCTCCCCGCGGCCGCCACCCCGGCGGGGCCCCGCGGCGCCTCGGGGCCTTTCCTGCCCGCCCAGAGGCAGGAAGCCCCGCGGGGGAGGCGGGCCGGAGCCTCTTCCCGGCAGGTGGGAGGGCGACAATGGCCTGGAGGAAGGAAGCCGGGAGGCGGCAGGGCCGGGACACAGGACGCAGGGCCTGGCGAAGGGAGGGAAAGGGAAGAGGGATGGTAGGAATAGGCGACAACTCGACGAGGAGAGCACGGAGGGGCCGCTGCTGTCCAGCCGGGACTGGCCCCGGGGACCGGCCCTGCCCCAGTGGAGCCCCGTGGCAGAGCAAAACGGCTCGCTCGTACCTATGGCTTCACTTCGTAACCCTGACCCAGGCAGCACCCCAACGCCCCACTTCCCGCTTGTGAAAATGGCAGTCACTCTGGCCAGGGGATGCTCCGCTGCCGGGACTGGCCGTAGCTTTTCGTGCTAGTGACCGGATCCAAGTCGTGAAATAAAACATGGAGTTAGCTCAGCAACACAGCTATGCAAGGGCGAGAGATTAAAAAGGAATAGAACACCTTACCCCTTCAGCGTGGATCCCAAGTTCATTTGATTCCATGTCATGCACTCAAGCTGTGAGGTCATTTGGTACAAATTGTCACTGTTGTGAAAATACGGAAAATTAGAACTAACGTCACAGCGATCAAATAAAAACCAATTTGCCAAGACAGCAACATTTTGTTACTGGTTTTCAATATATAATAGCAGAAAGTTAATATATTTTATATAATTCATTTTATCGATGTATTGTGAATTTAGAAAATAAAATAAAAGGAAACTGAGAAGAAAATAATGGCTGTGGCTCGAGAAGCCTCTTTGGATCAGCAAACCTGCTGATGTGGAAATAGATGGGAGTGGGGACATACAAATTTTCCTTGCAGAAAAGCCGTATCCGATATTGACATATTGAAATGAATGAAACGACCACGGGCGGCCCGGCGGGCTCCCGGCTCGGGTTATCTTTTCGAAGGGGCAGCTCCGTTAGCGGGTGTAAGCGGGAGGGCGCGGGACCATGCGGCTAATGGAGCGGAACAGCTATCGTGACTCCTGATGGATGTTGCTACACAGAGGGGCTTGACAAGCCGGAGAAAAATGGAGTGGCTGGGCGATAAGCGGGGCTCGCCGCTGGAGCGGGCGCGTTCCAAACGCGGGCAGCAGGAGCCCAGCGGAGCCCCCGTTGCCGAGCAGGGGCCGCGGCCGCGGCTCGGGGGTCCTGCTCCGCGCCCTGCCCACGGCGGGCTCTGGGAGCGCTCCCCGAACGGCGGCCCGAGGGGCCGTGCAGGTCTCCCCGTAGGTTGATTAATGACATCTCCGCTCGCTGGCCTTACGCGGCGAATTTCTGTCACTCTGGTAGTGGAGAAAGGTATTTCTTCTCCCTTATTTTTTTTGCTTCATAGCAGGTAGAAGCGTCCTTAAAAAGTCAGATTCCAGTGGGAAGCTTTTGCATACAAAAACAAATTAAGTGACTTCAATCCCGAAGTATGCACAATATCATTTGTCAGTATCACTGGACGCTATTATTCATCCGTGTGTCTGAAGTGCTATTATGCTACTACAATGTCCCGCATATCAGCCCAGGAATTGTTCAACTCTCCTGCAGTTTCCCCATTCGCAATAGCAGCCCGTGCTGGTCTGTGCCAACCACGTTTTGCAATTCCACGAATTCTTCCTGTAATGCTGCTGTAATTAATTCCTCCAGGACCCTGATTTTTATTAGAAGTGCCCGCCCGATGCATTTACAGCAGGAGATTTCCCTTTAACTTTCTTTCGCTTGACAGTTCATTTATAAGAGCCTCCCCCACAATATCCACTTTTCCCCCTCCTTTGCTTTTTCATAAAGCAATACACTTATTCATCTTGTCACGACCTCGCAGCCACTGTGTTGCATTGCCGCCTTCGGGTGACGCTGTTCAAACCGAACCGAACCGCACCGCACAGCTCTGAAACCAGCGCCCGTCCAGTGGTGAGGGGAAGCCGCGGCTCACACCGCCCCCCGCCCCGTCTAACGTCCGCTCTGCCCGGTTTGCCCCTGGGTCTACAGCTCCGATGGCAGCTCAGCGGCGGAGCCTGGGCTGGCTGCGGCCTTTGGAGGCGCCCGGGGCACTCGGTCCCTCAGGCTCGGGTGGCCTCAGTAAAGACCCGCAGCCCTCGGCCCTCCCCGGCCGCCCGCGGCAGTTGCGGTGAGGCAGCAGTCGGAGGAGCTAGCGCCGGGGCAGTCGGGGCGGGCGAGGCGCTCCAGACTGGGGAGATGGAGACGCTTGACTTGTGGCCCTGCGGGATGCGCTGCGGCCTTTCTGCAAGCCCCGGGTGGGATGTGCCCTGGCACCTGGGTGTGCTCAGAGGGGCACCCCCATACCCCTCACCCCGGTGCAGAGGGGACCGGTGCCAACTCTGCTGCCGGCAGTGGCCAAGGAGAGAGATCTGTTTTCTGTGGAGATGCTGAACACACGGCCCTGGAAGGTTTACACCTCAAAAAGCCTGGATAGCCCAAGCAGTAGCTGTAAACCATGCCCGGGGCCATTGGAACTAAACATCTCACATCTAGCACGGGACAGAGAGCAGGACACCCCTGACTCCATTTACGCCTGGCCATGCTTTGTTACTGACAGTACCGTTAGGTCATCTCATGGAATTAACTGCTCCTCTCGAAATCTCGTCTTTGGATGAAGTTTGAATGATGAGAAGGAAAGCGGGGTCCCCGAGGATCCGCCTGCCCCGATTCCGATCTGAATCCTTGGCCCTCCAAATGGCCACAGAGAAGACACTAAAAATAACTTATTTTCATTACAGAGATCCTTTTAAAGAGAAACGAGAGGAAGGGGGGGGGGGGGCATTTCTACAACGGGGATTAATGTAAGTTGGAGTGGAATAAAAGGAAGTCAACGCTGAGCAAAAAGGGAACTCAAAAGGAAACCAGTAGTAGATCATATAGAGTTTGTTTTGGCCTGCATTGCAGTATTACCGAGTTCTTGACCTCTGCACAGAAAGAGCTATAATCTGCACCGAGACTCCTCCACTTTTAAAGTCTTTGTAAGTGTGACTCACAGTAAATTTTCAACATCGAGCATGTTTACTACATTAAACAGCGCGAGGTAGAAAAGTTCACATCACCATTTTAATAGTCCCACAAACGCTAGTCATCTAATGCACACTTGCAATCTGCGCGGGTTTGTCATCCGTATCCAGCTATCAACCACCGCCGCCGCAGCGCTCCTTGGCAGAGGGGGCTGCGTTATAAACCAAGAGCAAGTAGTTGCCGAGACGAGAGATTTCGGAGCTACTTTTCCTTCCTTACTATCATTTAACCGTTTCTTTCAAGATGCCCCCTTCCCGAGCGCTTTTGCCTGGGTATGGGGGAAAGTAAAAGCTCTCCAGCCCTAGGGTACCTCCTGTTACCCCAGTCCAAAGACCCTGCCGCTCACCCCCGTTACTCCCTTGCGGGGAAGCAGGCAGGCTTCGCGGCGGTCCCTTGCAGCGGTGGGGCGACGAGGAGGGGGAAGAAAGAACACCACAAGGAGATGGGTCCCTCCCGCGTCTCCCTGGGTTGGCTCAGCAGAGAGACGGGGATACGGGAGGAATGGCCCTGCGGGAGCCGGCGGACTCCAAGCCTCGGCCAGTATGGGGTGGATAGGGATCTCAAAGGACTCCCGTGCGCTACCCGAGGAGGTTGGTGCAGGACGAACACTGCCTGTTGCATCCCGCCGCGGAAAGAGGCAACACCTTTGGTTCCAGACACCTCCGGTTCCCGAGCTCGCCGCACTGCTAAAAGCGAGCGGGGACGGCTGCCGTCCTTAGCCGGTGCGAGGAGGGACAGGGGCGTCACGCCGGGGGTGAGCACCATCCCCTGCGCACCCCACGCAACAGTGCCGTCCGCATCCCTATCCCATCCATCCCTGCCGGCCTCGCCGCTCTGACGCGGCCACCGAGCCATCCACTGTCGAAACAGAGCTGGCAAACTTGGCCTGAACAGTGAAAAGCGAGAGAAAACTTCACAGAGTGGGTACGGAAAAAGTACAGTCTTTAAAAAAAATAATAATAACGGTTTGGCCAAATCAATATAAATGTGTATAAAGACTGGCGGTCGGTTTTCAGGCCTCTGGAGAAGTGGCTAAGAAGTCGCTTTCATTGCTGCACCGTAACTACTCATCTCCTTTCTTGACAACCCTTCCTAGGAAGTGCACTTGTAGTAGGAACACCGTTTTCCAAGATGCGTCTGAATGTATGCGGGAGACGATAAGGGAGTCACCCTCTGCTCGGGCTTCAATGCTGAAGCTCTGTGTAACGGGAGCTGCCCTCCACACGGTGCAAGTGCGAGATTTAAGGGCTTAAACCCTTATCCTACAGAAGGAAGTAGCAAACCTCCCAGGGAGCGGAGCAGACCAAGGCCAAGATCGGGCAGAAACCGTTTCGGTATGGCCGCTCTGCCCGTTCGTGCTGGGATGTAGGTCTTGGAGCCCTAGGCGGGAGGCGGCGGCCCGGGGGCGATGCTGCCTGTGCTTTCCCCCCCCCGACGCCACCGACGGACATACACACGGAGGAGGGAGCTCTCGGCACAAGCAGCTCTTTTCCTATCGGAATCACACCTGCCGAAACGGGGCCCGCACCGCTGAAAGTACAAACGCCGCAGGGGACAGCGCCCGCGGTGCTATTGCAGCGGGGAGCCCCGACACGGGAGCTGGGCAAGGGCCGACGGGGCGGGGGAGCGGCCAGCCCAAGCCCCCCTGCAAACCGTATTTATAGACTTCCCCGAGCAATCTCTGCCGTTCCAGCGCAGGAGCTCGCCCCGCCAATTATTCTGCAAGCTAATCTCTCTGGATAGGCTTCTTTCCTTCCTTCATTACCTCATTCCCTCCTTCCCTTGACGTCAGCTCAAGTTCATCAGCAGAGTGGCTTCTGGAAGTGACAGAATTTTGTTGTCCCACATCCAGTGCTGATTAATCAGAGATGGTATAACCGGCCTACAAGAGGAGCCGCTCGCCGCTTCCTTCACGGAGGCGCATTGTTTTGTGTGCGAGGGTCACTTAGCAACTCCGAGCTACGGGACTGGCTCCAAGTTCACAAAAAGTTGAAGAATAATTTTGGGGGAACTTCTTTGCTCACTAAACACGTTGTAAAACTGCGAGAGACACTCGCAGCCCCCATGCCGGACCGAAGAGAACACGAAGCCACTCTTGCAAAGGAACCCGTCTGCTGGCCGGGAGCGCTCGCGCCTGCAGCAAGGCTCCAAGAGCACCTTTCTCCCAGCAGGGAAACCCGACGGGTTTATTATCCCGTTTTCAATAAATAACCTCCCTGCAGGTCATTCCCCGTGGCTCCTGGGAGCCATCGGAAGGGATCTTGCTCTGCAAGCCGAAGCCCCTGGACGCGGCTGCGTTTTAATTGCCTGTACAACTCTCTGCCCATCGCTGCTGCTCACCAGGGAGCACTCGCACATCTTCCCGGCCTGGAGGAAGAGCGGGTGGGAGAATCCCGTAGTGAAGTGGGTGAAGAAACAGGGATCCCGTGGCCTGAGCGGGCTATCCCCACTGTGCAGCGTGAGCCAAGGGGAATTGCAGGGCCCGCGTCTGCCCCGGGCAGTGAGAGATGCCCTGGAGCAGCGTTTGGGCTACCCCGGGCGTTTCCCCCGGCGCAGATGAAGAGCGAACACAGGCGGGGCAGCCCGGCTCCCGCTTTCCGAAGGCAGTCGGCACCTGCAGCCGGAGCGAGGATCCCCGAACCGGTAGCTTAGTGCCTGAGCCCTGTGGCCTTGAAGCAGCGCCCACGCCGACAGGCCACGGACCTCGCAAACCCTGTCCCGGGGTGGGCAGGAGGCCCCGTAAAGCTCTGAGACACGGTGTGGCTCAGGGTGGAAGGCGCAGTGTCCTTTTCCGTTTTGTGGGGATTTGGTTTGGGTCGGTTTGTTTGTTTGTTTTTAACGCGTAAATCTTTGTTTCTTTTGAGAAAGGAAAACCCAGATCTGTTTCATTGCCGAAAGGAGAAAGCTGTTGGGACGGCAGGCAGGGGGGAGAACACGACTCGCGCAGGAGAAGGCAAGGCAAGGTACCTGTTGTAAGGGGTCCGGAGGAGCAAGGCCTGGCTGCCAGTGCAGCTGTCGGTGGGGGTGTGACAGCCGTACACAGGAGCAGGCACCGAGTACTGCTGTTCCCCTGCGGAGAGAGCGGCACAGAGTCAACCCCGCGCTGCAGAGGGGGCTGCAGGGCCCCGTCCCCCGGGCCTGGGCAGCTCTAGTTCCGCGACGGCACTGCAGTGGGGCAGCAGCATGACACCGGATTGCCCTGCGGGCCGGGCCCCCGCGGGGCTGACATTACCTAGCGAGGGCTGCTGGCTGATGGGGTCCTCGTGTTTGAAGGAGTGGTTTGTAAACTGGGCGGCGTGGTGCGACGGCGTGTGGCCATAGCTGGGGGTCCCGTCAAACGCCACGGTGCTGTAACCTGCCGAGGGAGCGAGCATTGAGGGGTTAGGACGTGCCTTGGGTTCGTTCGGCCGACAGTCCCCCCCTCCTCCCGCCAAGCCTCCTCGGGCGGGCGTCGAGAGAGAGGAGCCGGTTGTTGCACCATGCTCATCTCCCCCGGTGCTGCTGCCCGCCCACCATGAGGAAAACGACAACGAGTGTCCCTCCGTTCATCTCCCACCAAATGCACTTTGCAAGGCTGCGGGCCGGGCCGGGCCGGAGCGGAGCGGTGGAACCCCGGTGGGACCACCACGGACCCCGATGGAACCCCCCCTTGGCCGTGGAGAGAGGCGCGCAGGGCAGCCCGCTCGCGGGCGGAAAGTCGGAAGTCTAGGCCGTGTTTAAAGAGAACAGATCGGCTTCGGTAATAAAAAGGATGTTTTCATTAATTGTTGCTCATATTAAAGAGGAAGGTTCCCATCTGCTCAGTGCACTCCTCTGCCGTTTCCAATTTAGAAGTTACCCTTTAATCTTTTTTTTTTTTTTTTAAAGCCGCTTTCTGAAGAGTCTGCAATAAAGAGGCGGAATGTTACATGCAAAAATAAAACTCCTCCTTTCAGCGAAAATTACTCTGCCAAATAATAAACAGCTTATTTTGTTTCCTACACCGAGCAGATTTAGATGGAAAGCACCCACCTCTGCTGACCCCGGGCCGACACCAAACCGTAAATCAGGTGCTTGGACACCAGCTTTCATTAATGACTTGGAGCTGGCTAAACAACTCAGCTAAAAAAGTAATTACAAAGTAATATTATCTCGGAGGCTTCTCGGCTCATCAGCGTTTACCCCAGAGCCGAGCTCCTCTGAGAGTCACTCTTCCAAAACAACAAACTAAAAAGTCCGGCCCGGGCTGGGAAAAGAAACGAAAAGCAGCACTGCTCGTCCTCCCGAACCCCACTTATCCAGCCGGGGCACCCCCTCCCTGCCCGTCGGGAAGTGGCGTGTGGCCGGGGAGGATTTTGTCACTCCAGAGGAAGCACTCCTGGGCTGTTTTCAGGCTCCTCTCTCAGCTCCCTTGGGTGCCGGGTGCTGGGCTCTGCATCGCAACCGCCCATCTATCGATATATACCACAGGGGGAAGTACGGAGAATAAAGTGGAGAGGCAAAAAAAAGGGGTGCAACTGCTGCTTCTCGGTTTCATTCTCTGTGCAGACAGCCTGGATCTAGCGACATTACAGAACTTCATTAACCTTGCGCAGGAGCAACGGGGGGGGCAACGGGGGGGGGGCGTGAGGGAGGAAGAAATAACCCTTTGAAACATTCCCCTTCGTTCGCGAGGAATGTAAGCCGGCGCTGAGGCTGCGGGGCTGGGGTAGATGTGGGGCTGGCTTGTTCCACATCCCCTGGCCCCAGGAGCCCAGTTCTGCCTCGCTGCGGCAGCGATGACAGACCGGTACCTCACGGGCTCCCATCCCACAGCTGCTTCTCTCTCCTTATCTCCTCCCTTAGCCCTCAGGGTAGAGCCTCAACCTTCAACTCCCTTTCCCCCGTTTTCCTCTGCTTCTTTTTTAACTTTCAGCAAGCACTAACACTTTCCACGTTACTTCTGGCCCGGCGCAGACTTTCGGTGACCTTCAAAACTCAGCTCGGAGCAGAACGAGGTTTTGGCCGCATTTTCCGGTGTTGCCTGACCCAAAGCTTCAGGAATGTGATAAGAAAGTTGGGTTCTGAACCGAGCTGCCGATAGTGAGGTCTCTTTAATTAGGGCGTTATCAGAGACAGTTCTGATTAAGATGTGCTGAAAATAATTGAAAGTTGTACATCTGGTAGAGAACTGGAGGCGTCCAGTTGTTGGAGGAGCCCAGCTGGATGAAAGAGACAGGCGAACGAGGAGAGGAAAACTGGGCAGAGGTTTCAAAGCTTTAGTTCCCTAACCCCCACACCACCCCAGACTTGGCAAAAGTGTCACCGCAGCGCCAAGGTAGCATCTTTCCCACGGTCGGAGCAACCGGCTTAAAAGAAACAACCCAGGAGTTCAGCCTTGAGGAGATCCAAAGGAAGAACACTTTATCCATACAGACACACACACATAAAAACAAAAGGAAATCAAACGCTCTTTGCCGAATTCCTCCTTGCCGAAGGAGTTCTCTGCGTGTCGCCGCCGAACATAGCTATGGCTATGCTGAGGTGCTGCTCATGGGGGGAGCAGCCCCGAGCTTAGCGGAGCCCCCAGGCCCGGCGGATCACGGGAGGAGCGGGACACCGCTCTCACAGGGTCTCGATCCAACCGGCCGGGCCCGGGAGGTGCGAAGATAAGTGTATGGCCACTGAGCCCTGGCTCTCGGGCACGCAAAGGGGTCTGTGTGCGGGGCCTTGCGCCGCAGACCGAGCGCCTCCCGCACAAAGCCGGGGACCAAGTAAAGCACGGCACCGGCTCAGTGTTCGGCGCGTTAAAGGCTCTGTTTCTCTCTGGGGTGGTTAAACTCAGGCTACAGGATGGCGCTAGGTCGCAGGTATTTTTTCCCTCTCCCATCCGCTCACACACCCAGGGCCGAGCTTATTCCGTCACCCTCCTCTGCACCTTCCCGTCGCTATTTGTGCTCAGCCATTACAAATCCTCTGTGATATCTAAAATCCTTTCATATGTCTTAAAGATTTCCCCGGCAGAGCTCCCCGATCCGCCGCGCTCTGTGTTGGGGCGATCACAGGCCGCTCCCGGGCGGATCTCGGAGCCCCGGAGGGTACGCAGCGGCTCCGGCGCCCCACCGCCAACCAGGCGAGGCCGACGCTGTCGCGGAGTGCCAGGGCCGCTGCTCATCTCCTCAGCCGGTCTCGGCGGCAAGACCCCGGCGCCCCGATCGCGGTTCCTCGCGTTAACTGTGCGCCCGGGCCGGGCGGCCAGCGGGGCCGGGAAAGGAAGGCAGCGGAGCGGTGGCACCGGGATGCACTGCCCGAAGGAGGCCCGTATTCTGCCGTGCAGCTGAACAAACGCTTCCCCACCGCCGCCGTTACCTCCTCGTACTGCAAACGTCGCCCCGGGCCGCCTCGCCGGCCTCGGCTAACACACAGCCTAGGCCTCCGCTCCGGCCCTTCGCCGTGCTTCCCTCAGCCCGCAGGCGCGACGGCCCGACCCCCCTCGGTCACACGGCCCTGGGGCAACTGAAGGAGAGGGAAGCAGACCGAAAAAGGCCCCGGACAAGCTCTCCGAAAGCTCGCCCCCTTTTCCTTCCTCCTCCTCCCCTTGCACCCGCAGATATTTGTACTGCAGCCGCTGGAAGAAAAACGACTAGACGGTGATCCCGGTGCCACAGTCAGGGAATGACCCATCCATCGCCCTGCCGTGCAGCCCACTGGAATTTCTCAGCCGCCGCTAACGACAGTACAGTCGATTTCGGCCACGGGGATGCTGAACATAAATCACGGCCTGGGGCACTCAGTGCATAATTCTCTGAAGTGCTTGAAAGCACTAACGTGAGGACAGTGGTTTTCGGATTCGGGATGGGGTTTGGAGGTACGCCCTCTTCCCACCCCCCCATAGACTTGCTGAGGGAATTTCTTGGGGCACCAGCCCCACATCCACTCCAGCACCGGCCCCATTCCCAGCCCGAACAAGCAGGCGAGAGGCTGCTCCGACCCGGCGAAGGCCCGGGGGATCCAGCCCGCCTGGCAGAGTAGTGGGCTGCGGGCGAGCACGTCCTGGGTTCTAGAGCCCCATCGGAGCGAAGTGGCTACCGCCCAGGGAAGGAAAGGAGGCACGGAAGGGCTGGCTCTCTTAATCCTGCTCGGCCCCTGCGAAGAAAGGCTGAGCTCGGTGTTTACATTCAGCGCGGCCCGGCCCTGCCAAGCGGGGAGCTCCGGGGCTGCCCCCCGAGCCCGGCAGCTCTGCCCTTACCCTGATTGCGGATCGCTTGCTGGCTCTCCAGGCAGTTGGGCAGGTAGGGAGCGTTGGGGAACATCCTCGCCTGGCCGGAGGGCGGCTGGCTGGGCGGCGGGGCGCCAAAGGGCCCATAGCGGCAAGCCCCGGCCGTGCCCGTGAACTGACCCGAGAAGTGGACGGTGAAGGCGCTCAGGTATTGCTCCTCGTGAGGGTCCGACCCGTTCCAGCTCGGCTCTTGCTTGATGAAGGAATGAGCCCCCAGCGAGCCATAGGAGGCCCCCGGGGGGAAGTCCAGGACGGGAGCCCACTGCGCCGCGCTGCTCACCGGCATGGTGCAGTTGCTGTTGCCCGGCAGAGAGGGCACGGAGGGCAGCAGCGCGTTGAGGTCGCGGACATCGGAGCCCATCTGCTCGCAGACCTTCTGCCTGCCGCCAGGCAGCCAGTCTGTCCCCGGACCGCACTTGTTCCAGGACACCTGGCCTCTGCCCGCCAAGCCGGAGGCCGGCTCCGGCTGCAGGCACCAGGCTGGCGAGCTCAGCCCTTTGGGAGAGGTTTGATCCGGCACGCAGCTCCCCGGGTCCAGCCCGGCGGGAGCCGGCAACAACGACAGGGAAAGGTTGTTCTCCAGGATCGCCTCCGGGGCTGCACCCGCTCCCAGCGCAGGGCCGGGCAGGGACGGGTGTGCGTGTGCCTGTGCGTCCGCGTGTGTCTGTCTGCCTGCGCGTGTGTCCGTCTGTCCGTGCAAGGGGGGCACAGCCTCCTCGCACGCCTAACCTCGGATGCTTGCTCGCCCTCAACTTTGCAAAGCTCAAATAGAGGCGCTTGCAGGGGAGGAGGAGTCAGCCACGCCGATCCTCCATTCACACAACCTCCGCCAAGGGGCTGCCCACAGCCAGCTCTGCTGAACCCAGCCGGACAGACACGTGGGGGAGGAGAAAGGGGGACAAGGAGAGTCGGGGATGGAGGGGGAGAGGTTACTGTGGGAGAATATATCTCCCTACACATCACTCCCACCCTTCTTCTGGTGCAAGTGCCACTAAATCTCACCCTAACGTCCCTTCTCTTTAGGAGAGACTTGCGCGACTGTTAGCGGGATCCAGGTGGTCAGTAAGTACGTGTGGATGACTCCCCCACCAGGTCCGGCCGTGTCTGTGGGGACTCCCGAGGGTGGCCGGGTAGCAAGCCCCGGGACCGGGCGGAGAAGCCACCGCCCTTGCAATAGGTGGGAACGTGGTCCGGGCCGGAGCGGGCGGACCCGTCCCTGCAAGGGGAAAGTGGTTTTCCGCTCGCTCACCAGGCGCTCGCCTCAGGGGCTCCGAGCCAGCCGTACCGAGGTACCAAGAGCTCTGCCGGCGAGGACAGGAGCGGGCGCCCTTTGCAAGAGCCCGGGGTCGACGTGGGCCTGGTCCCAGCCCCGTCCCTCCAACCTGCCCGTGTGTGAGGGGGAAAGAAGAGGCTTGGCAGGCGGGGGAGGATCGCAGTGCTGTAAGTAACCTGCTTTTGTTAGATTCACATGGCCCTTCTCCTGGGCACCTCCGGACTCTCTCTTCCCTCCCCAGCCTCCTAGACAGCAGCTCCCCAGCGTGCAGCCCGGCGGCGGCGGCGGCAGAAAGCCCATGGCGCCTTCTCCGTTACCCCCGGACGGTCCTTCCAGGCGACTCGGCGTGTTTAGGGTCGGCACCAGCAGAGAGGGATGCCGAGATTTAGGCGACGCGGGAGTCCTCCCAAACCGGCAGGAAGCCCCGGGGAGGGCGGCAGAGACCCACGGGACATGGCGGTACCTGCCGCGGGCAGGTGGGACGCCGGGCAGAGGCGAGCCCGCTGCAGCGCCAAACGTGAGAAGAGGAATCCTGCCGTCTTCCTTCAGAACTGATAATTAATAATCACCGGAGGGGTGGGGGAGGAAGCGGTGTTGCTCCTACGAGCACGCGTGGGGCAGCTCCCGCGGGCAGTGTGCTCTAAGGGTACGCGTGGGAGCACCGCCCCGGCCCCTGCGCATCTCCACCGGTCACTACCAAAACCGAAAACGCTCGCAGCTCATAGCCGCATCTTCCCCAGCCGCGTGTCCCTCCTTTTGCAGCGTTTCTTTTTGATAGAATAAACGCCACAAACACTTACCTGCCGCTGAAAAGACCGAACCCGTTGTCTTCCCGGCGACAAATTACACTTCTGTATTTTCTTCTCCCCGCTGCATGCATCACCAATCTTGAAACGACATTTTAAAATTCAGAGGGTTCTACGACAAAAGAGATTAAAATCAGCATTATTAGATTATCCAAGTATCATTCCATTTTCTCTTTAAACTCTTTAACCAAAACTGGCAGGTTTTGTTATTATGAAATCATGTTAATTTTTACAAACTAACTTCAGATAATTACCTTTTCAAATCTCTTTTAATGCGTGAATCTATTTATCGGTGGAATCTACGTGTAACGTAATAGCGAAAGACATCTTGATTATCTTTGCCGGTATTAAAGACCATCTAAGTTTACAGGATCCGCTGCTTCCCATGACTACAGCCAAAACTAAACCACCCTCGGCCGGCATCTGGGATACTACCGGCCCCGGGCCCTGCTCCCCCTCGCCCCGGGCTCCCCGCACAACGCAGCCCTCTCGCCCGGTACCCGCGGGGGGTGCGGGATCGGGACGGCTGCTGGGTTAGCCAGGGTCTGAAGGGCCGATCCCTGAGTTTGGTCCCTTCATCTCCGCGTCTGAAACGGGCAACAGACATACAGAAATAGAAGTCTTTACCCAGTCTAAGCGGAGTATTTCATTTCCCGTGAAAACTAGACCTCTCCTGGTACAAACAGAAAAAGCCTTTCCTGAAGGGGACTGTTTTTCGAACCAGTGTGGGGGGTGTTTCTTATCTTGAAAAAACAAGCTTGATAAATCTTAAAGTGAAAATGTTTTCTTCATCGCTTAGGTCTGCGGTGTTCCACCTGGAAGGAAGAACTGCCAAAGCCCTTCCAAACCTTCGCCCCTCTCGCCCTTCCAGCGGTAAAACAAGCAGACCCCCTTGCTCATCGAGGCTGGGGAAGCAGAGGTCGTCGGCAGCTGCGGGGTGCCCTCTTGGCCCTGCGCAGCGCTGGGCACCGGCACCTTCCCGGGCCGCCTCAGCCGTGCAGGGCACGGAGCGGTCGCGGGCTAACAGGGCGGGCTGCGACAAGGATTCTCCGGATCAGGGCGAGTACCGGGGCTTCCCGGGAGAAACCCTCAGCATTGCAGCCCGAGGAGGGGACGAGAAGCCCGGACTTTCTACCCCGGGGCGGGTTGGGAACTTCTGGAAACGGCCAGCGCTACTTCCCGCAGCCATTCCCTTCCAGCTAGCACCAGGGAGAGAGTTCCCCGCCCCGCTGCATAGCCGGGCACTCACTCCCGCAGCCCAGGCCGGGAGCGTTGGAAGCAGGTCCCTGGGGAGCACCCCAGCATGCCGGGGGGAGCTGCTTCCCCGTGCCTGGGACACCTGCTCGCCTCCTCCCCGGAGATCCCGACCTCGATGCCAGTCACTCCATCTACACAAACCCTTCGCCGGCTCCCGGGCCTCGGTGCCCAGCCGACAGCAGTGGCCCAAGAGGTGGCAGTTGAGGAGACAGCATCTTCTTTGCCAATTTCTAGACGCGGGCGGGCCGGAACGTTTTGCCCTCTCCTCTCCAAACACGGCCCGATCCAAATCTTTGCCAGGGAGCAATCAAACTTAGTTGGTTTGCTCGCTATTCCATACCTATGTTAATTCCCGATAATGCTCAATCTTCGATTGTGCTCAAAGGCACACTGTGCAAGATTAAGTAACAGATATTTCCAGGAGGAGAATTATTCGACTGAGAGTCCCATGCGATCCCGAGCAAAAGGGGCTCGGGAGCCTGCTCCAGCCCGGGCAGAGCTGAAGCACCTCCCCAAGCTGGTGTTCCCCTGTTCCTCTTTCTCTCCTGCCGTGCCAACCAGCTGAAAGACCGGTAATTCTTACTACCCCATACTAAACTCAATGATCCTCTCGCGGCTTGGTGGGGAGAGGAACTGACTTAAACAGAGATAAATCCCTTACCCAATCCCGCTCACAGCACGCAGTGGATCAGTCTCCTTTCACTCAGGGAGCTGTTCAGAGTTTGATTATTTAAGTGCCAAGAACAAAGCTGCGAAGCACCTCCGCAGCGGCCCCGATCCTGCATTGCCCACTGCCCAACGCTCCCCGCCGAGCGCTGCGGGCAGCATGGCAGCCCCGGCAAGGCGGGCTCGGGCTGAGGGGGCCACCGGCGCGTTTTTGAGCTGGGGAGAGGACATTTTGGTTATCCTTTCAGGGGGAAAAAAGCATTTTTTAAAGGCAGAAGGTGCATGCCCGCTACCCGCCTGTCCGCGAAGCTGCTCGGGCATTCTGGTTCCCCCGAGGCGAGGGATAACCCGATGGCGGCTCTCCAGTGAACAACCCCTAGGCTCCGGGGGGGGGACATCCGGAGCTCTCTCCCCACACCCCCAGATCCGTATCTCAAGTCTGCGCCATCGGCTCACTCCCCGCCCGCCCCCGCGGGCTGTGTGCGCCGCTGCAGGCCCCGCCAGCCCGGCCCCGGCCCGGCCGGGAGCGGCGGGGCGAGCTCACGGCCCCCTGTCCGCCTCCCCAACGCCGCAGCGGAGGGCCGAGCCAGGCCAGGCCAGGCCGGTGGGGCTCTGGCCATTATTTTACCGTAAATCTTTGAAACGCTGGAACTAATTACGGAGAGGATATGTCTCAATTTGTTCCGCATTAGTGCCGCGCCGGGACGCAGGCACCGGGCACGGGAAATTGATCAGCCCAGCCCAGCCCAGCCGCGCCGGACCGCGGCCCTGACCCCATGTTCACCTCGGCTCCAGCCCTGGCACCTGCGGGACCCCTGGGCCGAGCCAGCTCGTCCGAATTTCCCCTAGCGCTGTTCGGTTCGGTGCCGGAGGTGTGAGAGGTGCGGCCCGAGCCAAGTAGGACGTGCTACGAGGGCTCTGTTAAATTTATCGGCGCACTGCTGAGACGAGGCTCAGCATAAATCACGGGGCTGTATAGAGCCATAAAGTATCCCTCTCTATCCTGCCCTCGCCGGGGCTCTGGTGAAGAGTTCACAGAAAACAGGGTATTGGTAACATCCTTCAGATTCAGTGTATGTAATGCTTTAAAAGTCTTAGATATACAATGGGATACACCGATGGAGTAGTTAAAGCTATTATATAGAATTTGTATAGGTATTTGATACATACAAAAGAAATTGGGGGCACGAGGAAAGCTCTTATGCTTAGTTCTTGGCTTCTCTAATGGTTTTAGAAGTAATAAAATTATTATTTTGGGACGAGAAGTTAAAAAATATTCTGAAACTTAATACATTAGAAACTGATATCTGGGGAATTCATTTCTCCCTGGTTGTAGTATGTAGATCCCACTATAAAGGCAAACTGAACTATAAATGTAATAATATAGAAGCAAATCGGTAACAATATTGCCACAGACACAATCCAAAGAATTCTTTGAGCCACCTGGAACGACATCTTTGAATACATGTTGAAAATATAAACCAAACATTGTACATCCACAAGCGTTACTAAAGCCCTGGTGGAAGTGGAGCTGCTGTCCCCAGCCACATGCTGCAGTATCTCTGGTACCTCTTGGGTAAGGAAAGGCAGTTTACCACCAGCAGCCTCAAGCCTCGCTAGCTTCTGGGTGGTACAGGACAGAGGCAGAAGGTGAATTGTCCTTTTCCATTTCCTCCAGTAGACCGGAGATCATGAGCATGTTTTCCTAAACACTAACCCTCCATGCCTTTATCCTTCAGATTCATTCTTGAACAAACACACTAACAATGCAAGCAAAGTCCAAATCTCACTCTGTTCTTACAAAGCTGTTTTGCAGCCCTGTACGAAGATACTCCCTTGGCTAGTCTTCGTCAGTGGGAAACTAGTGGGGCTCCAGTGAGGCTGCTGTCTTATGTCAGCTGGGAATCTGAAACCCTTTTCAGAGGATTTTGTTCTCATCCTACACACTTCAGAGGAATTCACAGATGTAAGCACCTGACTAGGGGTGCTTTAGAGCAAGAGTGGTCCCACTGAAATAAAAGCTTAAGGACTTCAGTCGACCAGGATCTAACACCTTGTACCATGCAGCAGGGGAAGCCAAGCATCTCCTCTGCCTACAGATGCTCAGCTAGTGCAGAGGGCAAGCAGTGAAGACAATGTGACTGGTGTGTAAAGCAGACAGGAACAAAAGCTCATGGGTTCTGTTCAATGCCTCCTTCAAGCTAAGGAGAAATGAAGAGGTGATGGCAGTTTTGCCAGAACACTGCAGTACTCCAGCAGTATTTGTGGGGTGCTTGGAGACCTTCAGTAAGCAAATACACACAGATAGTTACTGTATTATGCAACACAGCTCAGGGTGATCTGTCAGGGATGTGACCTGTGAGAGGGTGGCAGGGCTGGATGGAGCTGCAGAGCTATTGCAACATGGTAAGTCCCTGCTCCCAGCCCTGCTAGCAGAGCATAGCCAACAGCTCCTACACTGCCTGGGGAGAGATTCCTCAGCCCTGGCATAGCCCTTAAGCTTCAACTGAGCATACGCAGTTCTTCACTTAAGTGCAGCTACATAAAGGTATGAGTCTCTCTTCTCTCTGGACTATATGTACTGATATGTGTGTATTGTAGCAATATGCCAAAGGCAAACAAACTCATTTTTCTGATCTAGTTGCCTAGAAGCAACAGGCAGCAAAAATGTAGCTCCAACCAAAACAAAAGGTTTCCCAATTCTTTATTCTGAGGCTCCCCACTGAATATATTTTTCTTTCTTCAAAAAATCGGAACTTTACAGCCAGTCTTTCCCTTGTGTATGCATCACATCCTGCTGCGTGGAATATCTGGCCTGACCACGAGGGTGAACAGTCATCTGAAATCTCCAGTATCTGATGCAAGCAGGGACAGAAGCCCTGGTGCCCTTTACAGAATGGACTAGAACATCACTGGATTGTGCAGGTGCCTGCATGGTTCTTACCAGCAGGTCACTGTGGGTCTCAGCTGTTTTCACATTTGTGGCTGTCACTGTTCAGCAGCAGCCTCTGCTGACCCTGCTGCCACCAGCAGACTTATCCAGCAAAGCTCATGTTGAGAGTGAGCTACACAGGGACAGTCAGAGTTCGTGCTTGACAGAGAGAGGTGGGGGAAGAAAGGAGGCGAGGGAGGGAGCCCACATGTTGAACTTGCCTTAGAAGTCAAACTTCTTTAGAAGTCACAGGAGATTGCTCTCCCTTCAGATTTTGTGTATGTTTGACTGCTAAATTCATCTGAGTACTAACTGCTATGACACAGGAATCAAAAGCACGGAGAGTTTGCTGTAACTATTGAGTCGTGGACTCAGACTGATCACTTGTTTTTCCTTGCTATTATATGAAAGCAGGGTTCCGTAAAGTTCAGATCAGAAGTAAGAGCTACTTTTGCGATATCTTGACAAAACTCTCTTGAAATATTTAACATGTTAGTTGAAAGAAGCACAAAGAAACCCTATCGACTTGTTATTTATGGCTTTTTAAATGAAACAATGAAAGAAACAACTAAGTAAGTGTTATTTCTTTCTCTAGATTGCACTATCATAGAATAATAGCTCTATGAACAGATTTGCAAGTAGCACCATCATGCTAGCCAAGATATTAAAAAAGTTTATGAGCAGTTGCTTAGAAAAAAACAAGATAAAGACTATGGAAATCTGATACTGGTCAATGGTGCATTTATTCAAAACATAATACTCACTTCAAGTTTCCATAAATCCTTAAATCCCTTGCAAATGAAACTTCCATTGTGAGCACTGTTCCAGATCTACATGATTTTTGTTGGTTTTTTTTTTTGCTTTGGTAGACATTAGATATATCTGTATCAGTAGGTACAAGTCATGTATGTTTGTTCAAATGAGGAGATAATTCTAAGGAGTATCTTTAGAAGGAGATTTTTTATTAGTAGTTATTAGTAGTTTAATTTACATGAAAATATCACATTTGTGTGATTTGTTTAAAAATTCAGGCCTTCCACAGTTTCAACCAGTTAGCTTTGAAACTGCATGCAACCTAATGCCTGCTCTGCTCCCAAGAGCCTCACTTTTTGCAATATTTATCGCACTGTTGCACTCTAAGCAGCAGCAATGTTTGCTACTTTACATGCATCTGAGGAAATGGGTTCTACTGCTTTGAGCAGCTGGCTGAAAACAAGGCATACACTGAAAGGCCAAGCAGAAGAGACCCACCAGGGGAAAAGCCTGTCAGCCCATTTTCCCAGCTCCATGGTCTGAGCTTCCCAATTTGTAGAAGCCTTGTAGCCTTCACTACCGGGGTTTTTGCATGCTTCTCTCCTCACTGGTCAAATCCAAATGGATTCTCAGCTATGTTTACTCTCAAAACCTCTGGGCAGGAGTAAAAATAAGTTCAGCAAATTGGGTGGGTATCAGCTAAAACACACCTAATTTTTCATCAGATAAACTTCTCTTAGGGGAACTACTGGAGTCAGCTTTAGAGAGACACCAGTTCTATAATGAAATAATTCTATGTATGCGCAACACAAACACCTTGTAATAGCTACACGTGCTTGATCATCGAATGAAAGTTCTTGAATAAGTTGAGAAAGTTCATGGTTTTCCTTATTTTACTAGTTGCTGTCTAAGGGTAAAAGCCCCTCTCTAGCCAAATAAGGTTTTCAGAGTATTTCACACTTGCAATATACTTCACCCCAACACCATCTATAGGCAATATCCATCTAGGTATGGTAAAGGCTTGGGTCCAGATTGATGAGGACATATGCAAAGGCATTGAAATTGCCACCTAATGCATCTTCAGAGATCATGTCCCTTTGGATAGCTGATTCCAACCATGCAGTCTCCTGCCTCAAAGAAATGGGATCAACCCCATAGCCATAGAAAACACATTTGCACACACTAGCTCAGAGGAGGCAGGTTTCTTCAAGAGCTGTAATATATAGTAATGCTAACCAAAAAAAGCAGCCATAGGTCAGTCAGCACTCAAGGGATGCTCTGGGCTGCCCAGCAAACAGAAGGAATCCAAAGAACCTGAAACACAGTTAAAAGATGGGAAGAGTATCCACTCCTGGATGCCAAGTTATTAGGTGACTACAGAGCTATGCTTTGTGGAGCACTGCGAGGCTCTGAATAGTCTTGTACAACTCTTCCCAAATCACAGAAGTCCCCTGGGAAAATTCAGTAATCAAACAAGATCTCGCGGTCAGGAAGCTTTTCTTCATCCAGCCAATTTTATTTCCCCTTCACCATTCCATCTATTACTCATTACATCCTCCTGCCAAACTCAACATAATTCTTTTCTCTCTCTCATGCTTACATGTTTCAGTTACATATAAACCATTATGGCCTTTCATTCCGGCTTTTCCTACCCCTTATTCAGGTTGCAGATGTTTAGTCCTTTTCATTTTTCCTGCTGTCCTCCTCTGAGCTCCCTCCAACAGCATCTCTCTAGAACAGAAGCACTTGGAAGTTGAACTAAATATTCTGCAAACAATTACATGCGGCAGTCTCTAAATGTAAGGACACACAAACCGATAACTAAATCACCTTGAAAAACCGAGTGAGAGTTCAAACCCATAAAATTGTCAAATCAGGATAGGGAACTTTGGATGACACTGCAAGATCAACTTCACAGGAAGCCCTCAAGTAAGGATGTCTTAAAAAAAAAATTCCCTAGTCTGCTTTATGGTCCTTGTATCAAGGAATGTGTCGTTAAATACATATCTGTGGTGATTTTAATGTAAAAAGTATTTTACAAGCATTGTGCTGCTGTGACATTAGGAAGATACCAGTAACTGCATATTATTCTTACAAGCTTATAATATATCCTTGAGATACAACTTATTGTTCCGGGATACTGAAGTTCATGTAAAGGCAACTATTTACCCAATTAAGTCATACATGGTTGAGCAACTCATGCTTAGCATATTAGAACATCACCACGTTACACAGTTACAATAGTTTGCTTCTATCATCACATCCTGCTTCAAAGAAACAGCTTCTGCAGCCTTTCACTGCTGGAAAGGTATGGTTCTTTTCCATAAACAAGGAAAGGTCATGCCACAAACTAGAGCATATTACAAATTATACTTTATCTACACACCCTCAGCTTAGGTTGAAAGACTTCGAGTTTAGTCTTCTGAAGATGGCAAATATGGTAATTTATCTCTTCAAAACCTGAGAGCACTATATACTTGAAATTGAGTTTACAT